GAGGCTAAAAACGAATGACAAGTTCACACTGAAGTCGTGATTGGTAAAACTCCAAGACTATGGATGATCCAATGGTAACCCAGTCTTACTATCAAGCCTGAGAACAAATGGGGGCCGATGACGGATCATATGTTGAACCGAAACCATCGGCAAGCGTTCTGCATGCATCATGAACTAACTGCTGGCTGATCTGGTGTACGCTGTGGAAAGTTTCAGTAACTGGAGAGAACGTTTGAGCTTTCACATCTTACCCTGAAAGAATCAGCACTGAGTGCGTGGCTCCTTTGTAAACCTTGGTTTCGACCTCGACACCGGCATCCTTTAGTTGCTCTGCGTACTTGAGACCTTCGGGCGCTAGGAGGTCGATCTCGGCAATAGCAATCCAGGTCTTTGGGCTTCGTGCCACAATGTCTTTGGGTGCAAAGCATGGCGATGCGTCCCAGTTTTTCTTGTCTTCATGGTTCGGGAAGTAGAGGTTTTGGTACCAAGTCATTCGTCCAGGCGTAAGCCAGGGAACGTGCTTGGAAGAGGACCACACAGTCTCTACTGTGGCAGTACTGTCAATGACAGGACATATGAGAATTTGAGAAATGGGGGCTGGTGCCACGTTCTCTAGAGAGGCTTTCATTGTGAGAACAGCAGCAAGGCTCCCACCGCTGTTACTATCAGTAACAGAATGAGGACAGGATCACACGATGGTTCACTTACGCCGAAAGACCGCCGATTGTCAGAAGAGAGGTGTTGATATTGAGACGCGATGCATTAGCAGGCTGAACCATCCATCTAAGTCCAGTCAGACAATCATCTACAGCGGCGGGATAGACGTGCTCGGGGGCATGGCGATAATTGATGGTGACAACCACGCATCTGACGTCTACGTTTTGTTAACACCTGCCTCGCATCTTCAGAACGGGAGCTCACGTTTGCAAACATGCGTCAAGAATCCATTCTCACTGTCTAATCCCCCATTGACCCAACCACCTCCGTGCAGCCACACTAAGCATGGCCATCTTCCCGGGGGCGCTTCGCCTTCAGGCACAAACACGCGTACTTGAATGTCGCCACCGAGCTCCTCATTCCAGGTTTTACCAACTCGAGATGGCTTCTGCATGACATGCGCAAGAGGATTCGGATCAAATCGCGAAGATGGATCCCATGGCTGAGCTTCTGAGGGCTCTATGAATTGGATGATGCTGTCATGGAGAGCAACATATTCGGGGTCCAGCTTCTGGCGGACAGATGGGTGAATGGGCTGATACACTCCGTTGCGTTGACAGCGTCCGCCCCCAAGTTTGACCCGGAAGGAAAATTTTCCGCTAGCTTAGAAACCCCTTAAAACCCCCTAAACTTCACGTTTTAATAACTCTATGCGTACGTAATGCGCGTAAATAAAAAATATATCAATCGATAGCCCTCGATTAGGTGATTATAATGATATCTTTTTTATTCTCGCGTATTACGTACGCATAGAGTTATCTAAGTGTGAAGTTTAGGGGGTTTTAAGGGGGTTTCTAGGTTAGCGGACACTTAACGCAACGCTAAAAAGAAAAAACGAAACCCCCGGCGCGTTGCGTTGAACTGTCCGCTTAAAAAACCCCTCAAAATTAGCTTTAACTTCACACTTAGATAACTCTATGCGTACGTAATGCGCGAGAATAAAAAAGATATTATTATAATTACCTAATCGAGGGCTATCGATTGATATATTTTTTATTTACGCGCATTGCGTACGCATAGAGGTATTAGTAGACGAAGTTTAGGGCGATTTGGTGGTTTTTCGGTAAAAAGCCCCTTTTTTTGCCTTTTTCGGGCTAAAAACTGCGGGGTGGACGCTGTCAACGCAACGGAGTGTAGATCTTCCTGGTTTCACTCATTTTGGAGAATTGATACCGACAATTCTAGACTGCAAAGTTGAGAATGAAGAGAGTCGTTGTTGCGGAGAATGTGCGCATGCTTTCAAAAAGACTTTGACCGGTTGTCTCATGCTTAATCATGGCCGGCGGATTTGCCCGTTCCCGGCAATCGCCGGCAAGACCCATCAAACCGGCATTTGATCGGAACTTCGGAAGCGAAAACGGAGGTCGTAATTACACCTTCATGGGACTGACCGTGAGAAAAATATTCAGAACAGAGCCTTGATTTCACAATGACATGCTTGAAGAACTTCAATGAAATATGGTCTATTGCATATGGCTGATAGATGGCAGCGCCATACCACCGGCTTGCGAAGAATCTGTCTATCTGTCTATATTAATTATTTGGTTGATCTGAAGAGACATTCAAAACCAGCAGGGCTTAGCATACTTTTATGATCTGAAGACTTTGCTGGCGACACAAAATGGGTACATTTCTGGACGTACGGAGAGCCAAACTATTTCATCGATTGACGCGGAAAAGACCCGGTTTCAACGCATTACCAGGTGGGCGGATAAGTTCCAAGTACCATTCGGCGGTGTCCAACGGCTCAGGTCATTGTCTTGGCAAAATGGCGATGCTGCAGGGCTTTTCATATGAAAGGCGTCGCTGCCCAGTCACATTGGACATAGTGCCAAGGATCTGACGCAGGCAGTCCGGTCTAACAAACAACCGAGGGAAATAAATCGATTCGCCCGTCAGATAGGGCCTGATCTTCCAATCCGGGATAAAGCGCTGATTGGTGTATAAATTGTTCCAGGGAGTCGATCACAGAGATTAGGAAGCTTTTGACGGTCTTTTGGGACCAGCCGCACCTTCGACTGGCACTCACCTCCCGCTCTCGTTTGACTGCAGCTGCGCTGTGCCGGCATCCGTGATTACTCGCAGACAGATTTGAATGCCGACATGGAAGGAACGGTTTTAACAGCCGCGGATGTCATAGAATCTCATTCGTTCCATAAACCAAGCCAGCTACCTGGGCGTTAATAAAGAAGGGATGTCGTTCAAAAAAGGTAGAAACTTCACAGAGGAAAGTTTATCAATGAGCTCTAGGGTGCAAATAAGCATCAAGGTAAGCTCATCGAGTTCCCCGCCGCGAGTAGCTCCCCCAATGGCTTCCCCGCAAAGACCGACCCTGGACCCCGCAGTCTAAGCCAGGGTCTGCTTTTCCGTCCCTGTGGAACAGCATGAAGCTGCTCGGTACTCGGCGTAGGATGATGTCTTCTCTACTAGTCCAAGCATACGACAGATATACGATGGAACACGCAGCTGCAGCTCAAGACAATGCGTCGGATAAGCAGAAGAAGACTGACCGCAGGGTCTTGGCCGATCTTGGTCAGTGAGGGGAACCTTGTCGGCTGCGACTTCACGAGATTGACGAGTTCTGTCGAGGTAGCTTGATATGGCTGGAAATTTGTATAAATAAGCGTAGGTACAAGTAGGCAATTGTTTCATAGAACGGCAAGCACCTCATCGTGTCTATCAGAGAACTTCGCAGCCACCTTTAGGATGAAGGTCTCGACTCTTGTCGCGACTGCGTTGGCGAGCGCCATCTTCGCAGCCGCTTCCGTTTCCCTTCCAAATGGATGGTTCACAGTTCCACCGGATGAGAAGATCAAGACATCCAAGTTCAAAGGGGAGACCCGATACCTTACGTGGATGGCCGATTCCCAGATCAAGCACGGCGTTGAACCCACCTTCGCCTATACCGTTTCAGCATACTACTCCGGCATTCTTCTGGCATACAACCGAACCGGCGATGAGAAGTACTACAACTATGTCAAGCACTATGCAGATGTCATTCTATATCCGGCATGGAATGGAGAGATCCTTCTATATAACAACAGCAACTCCATTGACGACATTCGTTTCGGCCACACGTTCCTCGACTTGTACAAGTTCACTGGGAACGAGATATACAAGATAGCTGCCCAGACTCTGCGCAACCAAATCGATCGCACTGGCCGCACGCCCACCGGAGGATTCTACCATAGGTACCCCGTTTACATCGATCAGATGTGGCTGGATGGCATCTACATGTTGGATGTGTACTATGCTCGCTGGACCCACGAATTTGATGCTGATAATTCCACTGCCTGGGACGACATTGCCCTTCAGTACGACCTCATTGATGCCGGAACCATCTCCGAGCGTGAGCGCACCAATGGTCTCCCGCTTCATGGTTTTGATTGGAGCAAGAAGGCTATCTGGGCTGACCCCGAGACTGGTGCCTCCCCGCATGTGTGGGGTCGTGCAGTCGGTTGGTACATCATGGCCCTGGTTGATACCCTGGAACTCTTCCCAGAGAACCATGCAGGTCGCGAGCGCTTGCTGAAGTACCTGCAGTCCGTCGCCGATGCCATTGTCGCAGCGCAGGACAAGAAGACCAAGGGATGGTGGCTGGTTATGACTCCCGGCACTGAGGGCCAGTGGGGCAACTACATCGAGAGCTCAGGCTCTTCCATGTTCGTCTATGGCTTGCTTAAGAGTGTGCGTCTCGGTTACATCACAGGGGACAAATATCTGAAAGCTGCTCTGGATGGTTACAAGCTCATGACGGACACGTTTGCCGAGGTCCGCAAGAACGACAATGCCCTTCTATACGAGTGGACTGTCCAGACTGGTAGTCTGAGCTCGAACGGCACATTCGAGGTGAGAAAGCTCTCTTTATAATTCTTAACAAGCACATGCTAACATGTCCCCAGTACTATGCAAGCCAGCCTTTGTTTGAGTCAGACCTCAAAGGAGTTGCGCCTTTCTTATTCTCAAGCTACGAGTATGAATTGTACTTGGAAGCGAAGAAATAGGCCAGGAAATAGACAGGCTATAGTATTACAACTTTAAAGGGAGATCTATAGAGACTAATTGGCAAATAAACAATTCCATCACGGGTGGTATATGTTATATTTGAAGTTCAGGTCCTTGGCGACGTAGAAAAAGTTGATTTTAAAAGTCCCTTCGACCTGTCACTTTGAATTATCTAGGAAAGAGAGAACTGTCTGAGTTGTTCATGAGGTGCTTGTGCGACACCATCAGCTGTGTTTCTGAGCTTGTTGGTTTGTTTGTCGCTCCAGTATGTTGGTTGCCTAGAGTCTTCTCTTTCCGTTGTTCTTCCTGGTCTTCTTGCCAGTGTTGGTGTTGTTACCGGTGTCGCCCGCACTAGCGCCGCTCACGCGCTCGCATCTCTCGCCACCGTCTCCGTTGCCGCAACGAAGGGGCAACAGACAACATCCATCGGGATCGGCGAATTGTTCGAGACCGTTGGCGCCTTTGCCGAGGGACTTGCAATCCGGTCCATCGGGGAAGCCGCAGCTGTTGGAGAAAATTTGGGTTAGCTTGTGGTTTTGGCAAAGGTTTTTTGTTCTATATGCCACAGAAAGCCAAGGAACCCGCAGACTTCAAACGCAATCGAGAAAGGAGGCGCGGCGCGGCCGACCACATTTACATACCCGTTTTGTGCGAGGACGCCAGCGGCGCAAGCAGAGAGGATGATGGAGAAGAACTTCATTATGAAAGATTGGATTGAAAGTTTCTGCGCAGCAGATTGAAGAAAAATAAGAAGTGTGGTTGGTTGGAAGAATGAGAAAGTTGTCGCTGGGATGGAAGCAATCTTGAAGATAGTCGCCGCGGGTTCGACCAAGCTTTATACTGGCAAATGAAAATGGTCTGTTTACCATCTCTCCATGATTCTCGTAACATTGCTCTCCAAACATCTTGGCGATGGGTGCTCGTTGTTTTGCTGCGTAGCATCCATCGCTAACCCCGAGGAGTACGACACTCTCGGTGGCAGACCCCAACATCCCTGCGAAACCTAGTGCCAAACTAAGCTTACCGCGCAACCATCAGAAATGCTTCATGGCATGTGTCACAATGGGACGACAGTCGACATACAGGGTTCATGACTCCAGATTTCGCTTGGCTTGAGCCGGTCGCTCACGAGCGAAAATCTGCAAATCCTGTCTTTGACAGGGGCAGCCTATTTTGCCTGCTGAACCATTCCGTTACATTGTTTTTGCTACCTTGCAGCAGCCCGAAGATGGGAGCAGCGGAGCCTCCCGCACGGCAGGAGCGGACTTGGCACTTCGGAATGCTCCAGAGGCTCCTGCCCTAGGTCAACTAAGCCTCAACACACCCATCTCAGGGCCTTGACAAGCAATATGGAGGAGACTTCCACGGCAAAAGCTATTCTCTTGTCATCTCAAGTCGCCTCAACTTGGAGCCGAGCACATACGGAAAGCCTCGTTCAAGCGCTCAAAAGGAGAGCGCGGAAGCGGGATGAGTGCACTTGTGTCCGCAAATATGTACACTTAGTGGGAAAGAAATGCAACGGCGGGATCACCTTGAATACGAGCCACAAGAGCACCCGATAAGAAGAGAGCTAATTCAAACAGATCAACTGAGTGAGAATTAATGACCCTTGGCCAGTTCATTCCAAGCCTTCCGTTAACAGGCCCCAGAAAGACGTATCCGCAAGAATCCGGGGTGGAATCTTCCAAAAGGATTCTTTTTCGCGGGTCTGTCGGAATATCACCATACGTTATTAGAGTTACGGGGACATCAAACCGACCTTACAGGGCTGCGGTTACATGCGGACACCTTGCAGTGGTGCTGGTGTTACCCCGGCGGCTCCTGTTTCAAAGCCTTAAAAGATTCAGCTGAGCAGCCAAGCAAGGGCTGTCCTACCTGGAGAAGGGGCAATAGCGTTTCAGTGAGGAGTTAATCTTGACGCGCGCGTTACAATAACAAGACTTCAATAATTGGCGCCTGCGTCTGTGATTTTACCATGGATCACTCATCCCGCCGGCTCGGTTTAAGGAATGAGACACGGCTGGCAAGGATCACTTACTGGCATAGGTTGACGATAACCCCGGGGCAAATGTCCCCGTTCGTAGCTCGTGAAATGGACTTGTTCGTCAGACAATGAAAATGACACTTTGATTCTATCTGGGGAGGACCATGGACCACGCACTTCCTTCGTCTTTGGTCGTCTATGAATCCAAGAGTGCGATAAGACAAGAGACGAACACTGTCGGTTCGCCGCCGAGATACACAACAGTAGAACTTTGGAGTCTACGTTGCAAAGCGGAAGTCGAGCCTGGGTAACGCGTTATTAACATTATTCAGTCAGAGTTCAAGTTGCAAGCGGGAGGTAGCTCACCTTTTGTTTCCCACATCCGTCGTGTTGGTCCTGTAGTTGTGTTGCTCCTCCGGGGACATGGCGTCCCAAAGCTTGGCCTTTTGGTTGTTTCTCCATCGGTAGTAAAAGAATGTGAATGGGTATTGAACAATCTGCAAACAATCTGAGCACCTATTCTTCCAAAGCGTAGGGACGGAGATGACTTACACACATCCAGATGCAGATAACCAACAGGCCCTTGTTTGCCTTGAAGTATCGCGGAGCATCGTTGGATTGATAAACTTGGTGACCAAAGTTAGCCTTCTATTGTCGCACGGGTGACGAGTCAGACTCACTGTTTGCTCCAATCATGCCAGAGACTTGCACCCACATATTATAAAGGCTAAGGACGGGTCAGCGAAGCGACGACTTCAAGAGAGAAAGGAGAGACATACGAGGCAGATACCGTTCTGTTCTGCACCGAACCTGCGTTTCTACTCGTCCAAGCTACTTGAATGGGATGGGTGCTAGACCTTGTTAGCTCGTGCAGCCTTCGTCAGTCAATCTGGTACTCACTAAGGGAACGAGAGCAAAACTGTCGCGATGGCGAAGTATGCCCACGGGCTGATGGGGTCTGGCAATGCGATCAACGCCACAAAGCAAGGCAACAACCAAGCATCTTCGGCCATCGACACGAAACTACGGTTGTTCACCAGCTCACTCAAAGCGGTGATGAGAAGCATCGTGATGCTGGAGCCAACAATGTTCGGGATCGAAAGCAGGTTGGTCTGGATGACGTTGAAACCGAGACCACGGAAGGAGAGAGTGAGGTACTGGTTGACCGGGTACTTGGGCAAGCCGAAGAGCAGGCCAAGGGCGTACAGCGGCCACATATCGTAGTCCTTGGAGCACTCCCAGATCTGCCTGACGGACAGGCCCTGTCGGTTGTACATGCCTCCCTTCTGGGGGTCATCACGGATGACTGGGTGATATGGAGGTTAGATGCAGGTCTGTCCCAAGTTGAAGCGTGTGGTATACTCACCGGAGTTGACAATGATCTTCACCTCCTTTTCCTTGAAGTAGCCCTTGGGGTTCCACCAGCTCCTCGTTCGGGCGGGGCATTGCGGCATCAGGAAGAATGAGAGCAGTCCAACACTGAACGTAAAGCAGCCCCTAGAGCCGAAAGTTAGCACAGGGCTCATTGGTTCGAAGCAAAATAGCTCACTCAATGAGGAACATCCATCTCCACCCTTCATAGCCCAAGATACCTCTCATAGACAGAAGACCGACCGCGGCAAAACCCACACCAATGTCAACTGCAGAGAATGTGAGCTGCTGAACTGAATCTTGTCCTTGGTTGCACCACTTACCAATTTGGGAAGACATCCAGAACCAGGCCAGACGAATTGGAAGCTAAGTCAGGGTAAGCAAAAGACCGTCAAGCCTTGTCATTCACTGAAGTTACTCACAGACGTGCCCGTATACCAATAGCTAAGGTACAAAATTGTATCGGGGATGAAGCCACCTTGGAAGGTAGCACTAGATTCGTCCGAGTCAATAAAATATCATGCAGAACCAGGTACAGCATAACCTACATCAGGTATCTGGTGGCAAGAAATGACGCCCGTCCCTTGAGGAAGAATTGCAGGCCGGAAACGGTACTGAAAAGACAAATTTGAATTGGGATCCACAGATCCGGACCGATACTATTCATGTCAGAAGAGCCTCAGATTTGACTTGTCGGCCGAGATTGACGAACCGCTTTGAGATCAATTGAGATGGAAGCTCGGCAACAAGGAAGCCGACTCGGGAGATGGTTTGGCCAAGGTTCTTTTCTGTGTTAGCATTGTAAGGGGCCCGAAGCATTAGGTTGGCGAATGTACTCACGTAGTCACCGCGAGTGAGACCAAGATCAGGAAGCATGTCATCAGAAACGGCGTTGTTGATGTTGTTTCTGTCAATGTTCAAAGCAGCGAACATGACGCAACACCACACCTGATTGTTTCAAGTCAGTCAGTCGCGTACACCAAAGGCTTGTGCGATGCTTGCCAAAACTCACCATAATCTTCCAATCAACCTTGCGTCGTACTTGCCGCTCTTCTCTCCAGGTCCAGCGGAATGAGGGGTCGAAAGCCTCCTTGTTCTCCCATTGTGGGTGGATGTAAGCCTCCTTGTACTCTTCCAGATTCTCGGAGTCCCAGATGCTGGGTTGCGTCGCAATCTTTGATGCTGCTGATCAGCTAGAAATTCAGACATCGATGTAGCGTGAAGAAAACCTACAGCGTCAAGATCATATTCTTCCGCCTTTGGGCCCTTCCGAATTCTCAAGAAGCGCAGGATAGCGTCGCCGAGCGCGGCTTCCATGCGCTGCGTCTGCTGTGTCGCCAAAGCCGGAGCGGTCGGGGGAACTGCGTCTCGGACATCCTTGCCGGTGCCGGTCTTGGAGTCTGCGCCCGCGTGGTCCGAAGACGTGATGGACCCTGCGGGCGAGGGCTTGTTGGTCGGTTGCTGCTGGGCAGACATTTTGGACGGCAACTCGAAGAAGGAACGGAATCGAGTCGACACAACGGGCAGCAAAAGCAAACATCTACCTACGCAAGCGATTCCCCTATCTATTTAATAGGGAAGCATTAAAATCTCTTTCCACACCAGCTTCGGTCGCCGCCCGAACCCCCCTGGTGACAGAACCGGGCTACCGGTCGCCGCATTTCTTAGCCAAACGGCATACATGGAGGGAACCTCAAAGGCGTGATGGGTAATAACGACCGTCCATAGGCAGGAAACAGCGGCCATACCCCGGTTTTTGCCCCTTTGGTAAAACGATGCTCCCCCACAGGGGGTGACGACATGTTGCTTACCCAGGTAGAACCCCTGAACAGATCGTCTTCCGAGGAGATCCAAAACTTGGGATGAGAGAGCTACGATGACTGCTGAGCGTTGTGCATATTGAAAGGATGTAACGGTAGGGGGCTAAGCCATTTACTGCTTGACTCCAAGACGCGCGCCAGCTCTATCGGAGCTTTTCTCTAAGCTTAACCTAAACCTGAGCCGCTATTTCTTCTTCTTGTCCATTGCCTTTGACGCGAAACCGAGCCAGGTTCACGGTTGTCTGGAACGCAATGTGCGGAAGAGGTGAACACTGGGGCCGATGTTACGGTTCGTCCACTTTGGTGTGTTGCGCCATTCGCTTGCAGCGCACGCCATTGATTCACCATCATTTGTTTCGATGGCGTGCTGGAGGTCGAACCCCCGCATTACATATTTATGCAGGCAGCTTACCCTCCGCGCCGGCCTGGCCACACTCTCTCCACTCGGTTGAGGAATCCGTCCCGGCCGGCAGTATTCAAGGGTAAGCTGCTCAGAATCGCTGCAGCATTGAAACTGCGGGGCATGCCGACCGCCGGTCCCGAGAGGAACACCCCACACTCGGGGCTGCCATGACCGGTACGAACGAAGTGGGTCGTCATGATTTCGGGGCGGTGGCCGGAGCCGGCGCGGAGCTATCTTGGCTATTTAGCCCTGAACAAATGGCATGGCTTATAGCTTTCAGTCAATTCACAACTTCAAAAGCCCTCGGTATATTAAAAGTCTCGATTAGCCGTATCTGGAGTACTACATCTAACCGCTTTCAATGAATGAAGCTCAAGACATTGTTCGCGTAAACTCCCTATTCAGTACACGAACAGTCGCAGGGCAATGTCACATGGCCATGCTGGTCGAGGGAGCTCGTACAGACATGCTGGGTTGCCAGGTTTCTCCGAATATTTTATCTCACCACTGTTGCAAACCTAGCACAGTTAAGTCAGGAGCTGAGCGGCCAAACAGAGAAGACGGTCCAGATCTTTTCGACTTCATGAACTTGGGCCAAGCATGTTTGCAACGGAATTACCCCAGACTCCGTCGAATGGGGCGAGAGGAGACACAAAAGTCCCATGCATCCATTAAAACGGGTATCCATCTCTGGGCAACAGGGACCCTGTAAAGCGTCAATCCCGCCTCTGAAGTCAGTTATTCCTTGTGTAGGATTGCAATTAGCCTCCATGGCTTCTTCTCTTCACGACGTATCTGCACTCCCTCACATCCATCACCGTCGATTTCCGGCCGTCATCGAAAGCCACAAACCTCGCGACAGATTTCCATGAGAAGAATAAGCGCCCTACACGCTGTGTGGCTGTGATTCTTGTTCGGCTTGCCTAGACGCTAGCACAGCTTAGCTTCTTCAGCTACGCTTATTTTCCCCATCTGTGCTGCACGACAGGACGGAAAACAGGGTATTTTCAGGCAGTGCACTGCAATTTCACAGCGCTTGGCAGCACGTAAAAAGAAATCGTGTCGCTTCCATGGCGCGGTTGGGCGGGTGAGCCCGCCCAATTGACGAACCAGACACATCAGTGAGGGTTTCAGCCAGCTTCGCCTCGTATGCGGCCACAGGGCTGATTCCCTGCGACGGTGGACTAATGCCTGCTTAAGCTAGACCCTGGAATTCGCGTGTTTACGAGGTTTTCATGGAAAGAGTTTTGTCTTCTTAACCGATCGCGCCGCTAGTTTCGGCCTCTCTTTTCCTCGACCTCGAATGGCTGCATCTTCACGCCTTTTCCGTTGACCCGCGAGCGCCATGATGCTAGATCGAAACCGCGTCCGAAGCCTAGTGGTGGCGCTCTTCAGCGTTCCGGCGGCGCTCGGCCAGGAATGCAGCTACGAAGGCGGTTGGGCTCTCCGGGCTCCGGGGTCCTGCCCGCCGAGCGCGCCGGTTGAGTGCGGAACAGGCGCGCAACCTCGGTGCTGTCCTTCCGGATACACATGCACTGGAGATGGCGACTATGTCGGTAATTATTGCTGCAAAGGTATGTAGTTGCCTCCCCAACTTTGTTCATTGTGGCCGTTGATTGGAAGCTGACGCGCTTTACCCGGTGCAGACCCGGAAGACTGCAGATCCCTAGCTCTCGAGTACCCCCAGGTGCGCCGATCCATCCCAGCGGCGTGCTTTTGCGAAAGAACCGCGATTGACATTGAAGCAGTGCCCCGACTCATCATGGAAACTTTGGGGTGTAAATGGCAAGCTGGATAATGGAGGGTGGTGCTGCATGGACGGCTTCAATGGTACATACCGCGACAACAGCCAAGGCATCGCCCTTCTGTGCACGTCAACGACAGCGACCGCGCTACCTGCGAACATTTCGTGGGCTGATGCCGTGAGCACCTCGTCATGCTCTGTGACGGCGACGTCAACTTTGGCGACAACAGCAACGGGATCTTCAGTGGTTTCGAGCACGGCAATGACGACCAACACCGGGACAGCTGCTTCTTCAACGAGCACGGCTTCCGCGGGAAACGAAGAGTCGGGTGGGATCTCAGGCGGCGCCGTAGCTGGGGCAGTCGTCGGAGGTGTGGCCGGTGTTGGCCTAGTTCTGGCCGCCGTATTCTTTGTCTGGAGACACAAGCGGAGTTCCGGGACCGCAGCGACCGGGCCGGATGGAAGCGACCAAGGAGGTTGGGCGTATGGCGACCAAGGTGCTGGCAAACACACATATCAGATGCCTAGCGAGATGTCAGCCCAACCGTCGCGAGTCGAGATGGATGGTTCGCCTCTACCAACGTATGAACTTGATGGGTCGACACCACATGAGCTAGACTCCGCGGCGACGAACGCAACGCGACCAAGATAATGGACAACGGTCGTACATGCATCGGACTAGGCATCTAATTTCCCGATCCAAGATCGCAGAGTCATTTCCCGGAAAATCAAAAACGGAACCTGTTGGTTCTTTCCATCAAGGGTACCCAAGATGTCAATTTTCTTCGTGAGTTTGAATTGCGCAACTCGAATGACTCCTGTCGTCGCGTTAGTTGATTGAAACCTACCACAACTTACCATCTCTTCGATTTTGCCATATGATTTTGCCATATCCGCAGTGGAGTCTTTCTTCCTATTGAAGGATGTAAGTTCACGCAGAATATGCTGGTTAACAAAGGTTGTTTGGTCATCCAAAGCAAAGGCCCTACCCGATATACGTAATCTCCAAATGGCAACTGCACGTTGCGATTTGATAAAGTTTCGGGTTATCTGAGCGGAAGGAGCGAATGGCAGTTAATTATCACCTGCGGCGTTCCTTCCTGTTCGATCTGAGTTGTTGTCGGTGGGGTAGTTGCGCCTGGTCTCTGCAACATGATTGGCTGATCCTCAACAGAAGACCGTTGCACAGACCACCGACACTGCAACTCTGCAACCACCGACCTCACCTTCCACCCCGCGCGTCAACTGTCCATGCTTAACCCCTTAACAACACACTTCCCTCACTCACAGACCGTCGGCCTGCCTCAAGTTGCGACACAAGCTTTGACGGGCTGGGAAATGTTGCATAGGCTTGGTTATACTGCTAGCCTTAGTTATTGACTTGTTATTCCCTCACGATACCAACTAGGTGCGGCTAGTCAACCGACGGACGCCCTGCCGAGAAACCGACAGCGTCACCGCCACAATTTCAACGAATTTCACAAGCGTTCAATCGGTATGAACCACCGACTTCAACTTTAATCAGTTCGATTACTAATCTTTTTTGAATTAGATCAATCCAAGGGTAGCGATGGCTGCAGTCGCTCCAGTCGAGGAAGGCACCGGCCCTCCTCCCGCACCTTCCACCCAGACTGTCCCCACTTCTCCCCGGGAACACACTCCTGGCAAGTACTTCGCCTGGGTCAACAAAAACGTCCTCGGCCTTCTCGCAATCTGGTCCAAGAGGCCTCAGGCTCTCGATGAGTCCACCCCTCGCGTGGTCGAGAAGAAGCAGGAATTCGCAGACTATCTCAACTACGTCGAGGCTTGCAAGCAAGCCTTCCCGAATGTCCTCCCCCGCGAGCTTTGCTCCGTCGACACGGCCCATCAACGTCTGACTAGTGGTCTGAAGATTGTATGCAATCCTGAGAAGCCTGATCAGCAACGCTACTTCTCTGATGAGGACAAGCGTCGCGCCCAGGATCTCTATGATTGGGCCCAGAGGGCGGATGCGCTTGCCTTGACACCGCCGGCCAGCGACAACGAGACTACAGCCGTAGCTACTACTCGTCGCCCTCGCACCGGAGCTTACAACGCGGACAGTGACGGCAAATACCCCATCCGCAAGCCTGCTCCCGTCCACCCAGTCTGGGGCCGAAGAGGCATCATGCACGGTGTCGCACTCACTGGCATGAACGGCAAGACTCAGTGTCTCAACCCGGACTACTTGGACGAGAAGCGCGAAGCTGCGGTCATCGGTCACAACGGTCTCACCGTCGGCGACTGGTTCGCCTCCCAGATTCGCGCCCTGTTCGTCGGCGCACATGGCTGCTCCGAGGCCGGTATCCACGGTCGCAAGGACCAAGGCGCCTACTCTGTTATTGTCAGCGGAACCTACGATGAGATTGACGTCGACAACGGAGACGTCCTGTACTACTCAGGCTCTCGGTCTCTTGAGCACAAGAACCCAACTCAATGCCCCCCTCGTTCCAACGGAACCACTGCTCTTCACGTTTCACAGATGAACGGCAGACCCGTTCGTGTTCTCCGCAAGGCCTCCTCCGACAAGAAGAAGTTTTCGGTCTGGGCTCCTCTCTGTGGCATGCGCTACGACGGCCTCTACCGCGTCACTTGGTCTGGAACTAAGAAGAACACACACAACGGGCTTTTCGAGCAGTTCAAGCTCGTTCGTCTCCCCAACCAGACTCCGTTGGAGGACCTGCGCGAGATCCCTAGCATCGCCCAGCGCAACGACTACGCAAGGGTCTCAGAGTACTTCTGAACGAGAATTTGGTTGCGATACGACTTCTTTCATTTTTAGCTTGGGCGGATGGGGGTTTTCATACTGCTTTTTGACGGAGTCTTACGGAAGACCATCGGAGTTTTTATAGGGTGGAAGGCCATGGAACAGGTTATAAGCCGCGGTGATAAGCCGCAAAGTGCGGCGTCAGGGTTTGCTTTTCTTTATGAGGAGTCATTGGGAAATACCCGTTCTTTTTAGCTAGGCACAGATGGTTCAGTCAGAAGTCTGAATTTCCATAGGAATCGCGTTTTTGATAACTTTGACCCGTTCCCCTTACTAGACGAATCGATAGCAGAAGTGCTTCAACGGCTTTTTCCCCCGTTGCGAAATCTGTTACAGAGTGGGCTACGAAACTTTCTCGACATGAATCTCAGCCATTTGTCCTGCACAGTGTTACTGTCATCATGATGCCGGGCTTGTTGGGGCCGAAGCGTTGTCGTTGTCCGTCATTCCACGTGGGACCAAAAGCAGGTTTGGATCAACGACGAAATAAGTGGTATTCATCTGCGTAGTAGTCTATCCCTCACCACCAAAGCCTTTCTTCTCCTGAAATCATTACCCCATCTATGCCTTGGGGCAAGATTCTCCATTCTCGGAGATGTCGCCGGGAGCAATGCACTTGCAGCCATCGCTGTTGTAACGAACGCAGCACTGTCGAAAGTTAGCCAGTGCTCATACTACACCACAGGCTCGGAGCCGAGTAATAAAGGAGCTGGGTTGAATTTCATTCAACCCCGTGAAATAACTTACCCAGGCACCAGCGCAAGCCGCGCCGACACCGCCGCAGTTGCTCTTGATGCACTGCATCTGGCGGGTCTCGATGACGTTGAGCATGCCGTTGGGACTCTGAGCGACGCTGGCCAGGCCGGTGGTGGCGCAGGCCAGGAGAAGGATCTGGGTGAAGAACTGCATGGTGGCGAGTTGTGGTGTGGGTGTTTTAAAGGACTGTGTGGAAGTTGGTAATGTAGAGTGAGGTTGATAACAAGATTTCAGCATCTAATCGACAGCAGATGATTTGGATACTTATAGTCTACAAGCCGTCCGCCTAGTCCGAAGAAACTCCCGAAATCGTGCATGTCGGTAGTTTGATTCAACCCGAAGTACGATCAAAAGGGGACTGCTCAGCCTTGTCGGTTCAGTTTAATTACTTTGAGTTTCTAAGGGAACCCACATCGCGACTCCGCAGGCACAGGAGACATTCAATTCAGCCGGGGCGAACTTCCTTGGGATTGCTTTCGGGCAATGAATTCCGTGAGATGCTTTGTAGAAAGTAAAGCATCTGATTTAGGTTTGCAAAGGAAATATCACTCATCATCAAGTCTTACAGCTATGTTGCCATTGGACTTGGGTATGTTGCAACCGCGGCGAATTTACGTTGACAAAATGTGACTTTACCTTCCTCCCAGCGCAAGTTCCAGCGCAAGTTAGCGCAACGAGTTGTGCTGTGATCTGTGCTCGTTACGGATGCGCAATATAGATACGGGGCTGATAAGGGGGCAGATCGACGCTCAATACGCCGTAAACTTTCCACGTAGGGCGCAAAAAGCTAGGGTGCTGTCTAATCGGATGCGTCGGAAATGCCCGTGGGTGCTGATATTCTAGTTTTCCGTATAATGACTCGGGTTGCCAAGTCGAGGCAATCTAGGCAATTCCCTCTGCTGTTCCAACACCAAAGTTTATATTCTTCCGCCAGTTCGGTTCGGTCTTAAGATAGGTGACGGCGGGCCGGGCAGTGGCCGACATTTGCCCATCCATGATGCCTGTGTATCTTTTATGCTGGACAACGAGCGCACGGCGACTAGATTGGCATGTTCTATGTGTGGCGCAGTGTAAATTTCTGCTCCAGTTTCAGAAAGTCTCGGTATCGCATTCGTACCAGAACGGTCATAGCTTTTTGCCCATAGCCTTTGCTCAAAGATTGTGCGCTTTCATCAGATTGTCGTGCAGCAAGTGATGTCTATAATTGTGCTATGAGTACTCCAGATGTTCTTCTGAAAATGAAATGTGGTTTCTGGACTAATGCAACAGGTGTCCTTCATAGGATGCTTACGAACAGAAACCATTGCCGAGGCAACCTTACTGTCGACTCTAGCGAGGTATGCCGTTTGAGCTACTGTGTTGTAACTAAAAACAGCAGAGTTGGGCAAAGCAAGTTGATTCAGCTCGTCTTTGACCTCATCGACAATGATATCCTTCACCTCATGATTTCATCCTCCAACAACAGCCCGTCTCACACTATCTTTTTCAGACTGACCTACCTACTATATCTACAGCATTCTAAAATCCCTCTCGAGGGTTGTCTTTGTCTCACATTACTACACCTTCCCAGAGGATCACGCGTAGTTAGGAGCATGCTTCACTCGTAGTGCAAGGCAGCCGGCGGCACTCTTCAAGCAAGGAGTATCTTGACCCTCGCCGACGGTCTTAAAAGCGGTACGCTCGGATTATGGCTCGGAGTAAGTAGCTACAGATATTGACGTGGACGTGCCAGAAGTAGGACCGGCTGGCAATGGGTGAACAGGCTGAGCTGCAGTCTCGCCAACCGAAATAGTGGTGAAGGACCTGCTTTTCAGGATGTTCGTTCTGGCTTCAGATTTTGGGCGTAAGGATCTGCTACGAACTCCGCTTTAGAAACGATCGTCCGGCCTAGGAAGGATATGGGTGTGGGCTTACACAGGTAGCTGTTCACTTTTGGGTGCATAGACTAGGGACCGCGGTGTGATTGGGGGATTACATGATTCCCAACCCGAGAAAACTTCCGGCAGGTCAGTCTTCTGTGCCACCGTGGCTGAATTCGCTTTGCATCGCTGTATGCATAGGACGTCACGTCTTTATCCTGGGAACTTTGAACCAAAGGAGGGCAGTTTGGCTGGTAGTGGTAGTAGCAAGACTAACGTCTTATTGCTTTGATTATGAGCAGAGAGAAGAGGGCCTCTCTCCAATCAGCACACGGTTCCCACAACCCTCACGAACTGCAAAGTGGGAGGCGCGTGCTAATGCGGCTGGTTGGCTACTTGACGGGATGCCATATAGCAGTCCGAAAACATCAAGTAGCGACGCGCATTTTGAAGGAAGTCTGGGACCCCTTTTGCAGATAGCTTCATTTTGATATCATCAGCTCTGCTGTGGCTCTAATATGAGTTTCTAATGATAAGCCCTGTTACCCTTTTGAATAGTTCATGTGTCGTCTGATACTCGTTACTCTAAGCGCTAAAGCAAATGAAACATTGGTCAAAAGCAGCTGTATATCTAACCCAGGAGATGGGCGTGACCCTCAGCCTCTAGAGTTTCCCTCACGGCGGTCCTCACCTTCTCATGAACCGCCGGTGGCGCCGCGATAAAGCCATAGTTGGCCACCATCTTACGGCCAGCAACCAAGTTCACCGGGTTTCCGTCGACATCCGTGACCTTGCCACCGACCTCCTCGAACAGCAACATGGCACCGGCGTGATCCCAAATCTTCGCCAGACGGTCGCGCCTCCTGTATGCCCAGAACGTGCAGTTCGCCTGCCCCAAGCCGAGCACCGCCCACCGCAACACCCAGCCGAGCAAGTCGTTGCCGGGGTACGATACTCCGAGGCGCTCGGCGACCTTCTTGTGGATCCCCGGTACCGCCGAGTCGGAGCCGTCGATGCAGGTGACCGAGACCAGGGGGTGGTTGTCGCCGTCCGCGTGGCGGGGGATCTTCGTCGGCGGAAGGTCCAGCGGCCCGGGCAGCGCGCGGATGTAGGTGCCGTGGCCCCTGACGGCGAACATGATACTGCCCGTGCTGGTAGGGTCGATGCTGTCGTTGTTGATGGGTGCTTTCGCGTCCGCCGCCAGCATCGGGAGGCCGACGATACCGACGCTCTGCTTGCCGTCCTCCATAAGACACACATTGATGGCGTAGAGCTCGCCTCTGACAAAGGTCTTGGTGCCGTCGATGGGGTCAAACACCCAGAACCTCCCCGTCGGCGACGGGTCTCCCAGGCCGCACCAGTCGATCATCTCGCACATCTGCTCAGGCGACTCGGGCAGTTTGCACAGAGAGTCCGGCTCCTTCTCGCTTGCGACCTGCTGCAGGAGCGCCCACACCGACTTGAGGAGCTCCGGGTTCTCGCGGAGGTCGGCCGCGGACTCTTCGCCGACGAACTTGTCGCCGGGGAATGCGGCGTGCAGGGTTGATGTGAGGAGGGCCTGGATGGCGAAGTCGGCGACGGTGACGGGGCTGAGGTCTTCTTTCGTCACGACGCCCTTGTCGGAGGCGACCAGGACGCGTCGGCTGAGTGTTGCCGCATGCTGGATGGCCGCGATGGCGACGGTTAGTTCGTGAGCGTATGGTCCGTCCATGATTGGTTTGCGCGTCGGTGATGGGAGGTTGAAAATGAGGTGAGATGAGATGAGGTGAGTCGACGCCAAGCGGGTCGAGTTGCAGCGCAGCGGTGATCCTGCAGGGGCTTTGAAGAATGTGGCTCAGTTGCAGGAAATCGGTTGCGGGGAAGATTCGACGTTTGCGGGCGGGTGAGGTCGGTGATTTTAATTTTACGGGGAGTCACTGTTGATGATGGATGTTTGAATGGGGGCGATGATGTCAGAGTCCTGAGCGCGGCTTTTCTGGTTTGGCTCTTTTCGACGCAAATTTTCGCCGGAAGAATCGCCGTGGCGTGGCCGGCATCGGCCTCGGAAGCTCCGAGTGCAAAAGTGGGTCTTTCTTCCAGATTCTCGGACCCGATCACTGGGCAACGGAGGGAGGTATCAAGCGAGGAAGGGCATTGGGAGACGGGACAGAGATAGAAGAATGCATAACGGGTATTAAATGTTCGTTGTATGTTATGTCTCAAGCTCCACCTCTCCCTGGAAGACCAAATGTGCAAGTCTCCATAATGTGTTTCCCTGTAAAATGTAAGCTTCATGCCCAACCTAGTCTAAGTTCTCGATGTAACACCGGAGAAGAGAGAAATCGACTCACTTTCTTTCCATGTTCGTTTCTGATGGTATTCCAGCGCCTTGCATTCCCAGCGGCGCACGCACCAAGTCGCGACAAGTGCATCGCGCATCGCCCTCTCCATAGGCACCAAGATGTTCAAACTATTGATGCCATCTCTCGATTCCTCAACAGCAAGACGCCTACCGCTATCGTCCATCCAGTCGCACACATCGTTGTTGATCCTGACATCAAAAAGCAGCTCCTTTGCCTCCCAGTCGCTCGTCGCGTTCAGCTTCCTCTTGACGAGCCATGCCTTGCAGATGCTGCCCTTCCCAATCTTGGAAAATCTGACACCGATCGCGCCTATCCCGCTGCGGGACACGGCTCGGATGTAGTACGCGAAGGGCTCCTGGACGACCAGAGGTGGGCGCTCAATGTTGAAGACGTGTTTAGGGTGCGCGACGATCTCTGGGGCCGCGGTGGAGTCGCGGCCGCCCCTCCGCTTCAGGGAGTAGTCGATGCGGCTGAACTTGATTTTACGGTCATTTTCGCGGAGCGAGTCGATCTCGCGATTGGTTTCATAGACCCCAGAGTCTGTCTCGGCAGAGTTGGCTGAGTGAATGAAGCGGTCTGCTCGACGCAGGGTGTCGGGCTGCAGCGTTTCTTGGACGTCGGATGCGTCTTCCGTGTATTCCGGGGGAAGCGAGGCGCTAATTTCGGTGGTGGTTGACAGCGACATGGTGTTCTTATCGGCGTCAAGGGGCCCTGTAGATGCTTGCGTGGTTGATAGGAAAACGAGCCGGGTCAGTTTGATAGGGAATCTCCCCGCGGAGGGATGTGGGAGATTGATGCAGTTGTGAAATTCGAGAGATGCAAGCAAAGTAATCATTGTAATCGCGGGCAAATGCAAGAACGGTCGTGTCGCCCAGCGGCTTATTATGAGATCACCGCTCACGGCTGCCTACCGGTAGTAGCGAATGGGAATAGAAGCATTCCCACCATTACCGAACCTCCGTATTGAGCAGCGGTGCGACGCCATTGGCTGCTGCTTTGTTTACGCTGGAAACCAGATGAGTGATTTGTTAATTCACTCAAGCGAAACAGTCACCTGTTCTCGCATCCGTCGCCCGAGATGTATGCCGCGGAAGAAGAAGCCGTTTAGCGAGAGATTTAAATCGCAAGATATCAACACAACCTCTACAAGAAGTTAGCGCGAAGAGACGGCAATTCCGCGATTTCTGAATATGGCCATACATGATCTACTTTATTCACTTAACCCTCCAATATGGATAGTTGGAGGGTTCCTATTGTGACTGCGATGGGTTCAAATGGTACTTTTTCATTTGAACATCTCCATGACAAGCCAACATTCGTGGTGTTGGGGCGCGCGAAGAGCGTGTTACATGCCCAACCGTCATGATCGTTCATTGGATACTTAACCCGTTTTCATTTTGAAGTCAATGAGCTAGTTTTGGCTAAATTTCTGAGAAAAATTTCATTGATATCGCTAATAGTATACCTAAGGTTCGATTCAACGGTAAACTTGCTGTTGTTGTTGCGGTGGACCCGGTTCAAGATACTGCCAAATCAAAATCAAGCGGTAGTTGACAAGGACTTTTCAACTATCTTGAGTGTAGGTAGATGCAGCAGCAGCGGTGGGGTACCCATGTAGGAGTTGGGAACTGCCATTGTCTTGCAAGGGGATGCACGTAATTGCCAATCCTTGCTTGCATATCAAATCGCAACTTTGCGTTGCAATCTGTGCGGGAACTGACGTTATTCCCTCATTGACGTCGACCTATTGAGTACGACGGTTTGACTGAGTGGCTTGATTAATCGATAGACTCAAGCAAGCTCATGGATGTCTAATCGACCTACCTGCTAGTACTGAGCCGTATGACGGCGGAGGAACTGCAACGTTACAAAACGTCAGAGGGACGGAACTCTAAGTCCTTTGAGCGTTGAAGGTGAGAAGTAACTTCGTAGATTGAATTGATCTCTAGGCGTCTTGCCAACCTTCCACCAATATGTAGCCAGGAAGTCTATCTCGAGACTCCAGAATCCAGCCACTGGCGCTTCGATAGAATCCTTCCGGGAAGGATTGCGCGAAAATGACTGCATTGAGTTGCACTAGCTCCCGCGGCTGTCATTTAAACGCCGTCGGGACTGCGTCTACCTCGAGGTCGATACAGCCAAGCCTTCGATCAACAGCATCCATCTCCGTCATCAAACGTGCGATTTGCATCAAAGTACGACAATATCTTGACTCAGAAGCTGGTTTCAATCTCTTATTTGACGATATGCGACTGAAGTCCCCTCCAGCGGAGCTTTCAGAAGAACTCTGCGGTGTGCAAGTGTGCTGAAAGGTGGTGGCAAATTTATCGTACTCGTACCGGAGTCAACTCCGAAGCTACGCTTGGTGATTGTAGAGACAATAAGGACTGAGTCTTTAACAGCATTTTGGAACGGAAAAATCCCTTCATTGTGTAATTGAGTGGCCCATGTGAGCTAGCACAGTGCATTCAACTGCCAAATTCTCGTGCTTGGGATTCTGCCGAGAATCTATGGTACGATTTCGCGCAGGAAAATTCGATTCGGAAGCTGATGATGGGGTCGGTCGGCATGACATGCCCGGAGCCGGGATCAAGCCGGAAGTTTTCATCACGTCGCCTGAGAACCTTTGGAGAATCACTTCAATGATGGGCGGTCATCGGATTGCAGCTTCGTCTGAAAGATTTCGGATTAGCTGGTTGTGGCCAGTTTGCCGAGCAATGACGGCGAAAAAAAAAACATAGCGTTTGGGGGCGATGTTGAGCAACACACCAGCTGACCATCAAGCTCAATCATTTGCCGCAATGGTCCTCAGTAACAGCACAGCCCAGACCGAGTCCAATCCCTTCGACTCGGATTGACCGTGGCGGCGTTGGCATTAGATAAGACGGTGAGACCTGTCTCTTCCCTCGGCCTCTCGCAAACCATAGCCGAGGCCAGCCGACGTACGGGAGAAGGAACACACGGGGGAAAAAACCTTCGTATCCCTTTGCGGAAGTTCCTCGTCTGACAGTCGACAAGGCCTGGCCTGCAAGCCGGGCGCAACATTATTCGTCGCCAACAGCGCGTACACTACGTCATCCCCCCCAAAAGCCTTGCAGAAAACGTGCAGCAAACCATTGCGCGCCGTCAAGGCCCCCCAGACGTCCTAGTGGATGCCAAGGGCCACGAATCGCGGTTGAACGGCAGAGATTGGAAGACCGAGAGAGCTGCCCCCACCGCTTCGGTCCCGCTGCTACTGGGGCCGTACGGCGTCGTGGGCCTTTGTTCGCTCCCGTTCCAATCAAGCAGTCGGAAGCAGATACGCCGCCAGACTCGGCGTCATGCCATTATCCACACGGGTGCCAGAGACCGCTTGGCACTGGCCAGGCGGGAATGTCTGGCATGGATGTTGCGCCCGTCCTGCCTATCTGAATGAAACACCATCGCCCATTCAGCAGGCGCGGAGAGTGTGCGAGAGAAGAGAGAGTAGCAGCCAGCAGCCAGCAGCAGTGAGTGCCGTCGCGCCCAGAGCTGTGCCAACCTTGCCAATCAAAAAAGGAGGCGCACGCACACCCAGCATTGTTGCGGCTCAAAAGACTCAGGGAGGCTGATCACTCTTGTCAAGAACCTTTCCGCAGAAATGATAAGCTTCTTTCAACGACGAGTCTCGATTGATGTTGTCTCTCTCTCTTCAGAGGCCTCTTGTGAACAGCGGCTGTCTCTCTGGAACGACGACGACGCCGCCGATTCAGACTCGGATCCACCCTCATTTTGTCCTTTGCCTCGATTGGAACAAAGTGTCCACATCCCATGGTCGGGCATTGACTGGCTGCTGCATATAAAGTGGGACAGGAATGGCCTTTTGGAGGCGCTCTTTGGTTGGGGCCTCTCATTAGGATTTCACACATTTGCCGCAGCTTCTTAACACCGCACCACTGATTGGCCGCGGCCGTTTGTTTAGACAACAATTGGACAAATTTTTCGTTATTTTTTTCATTACCTCCCAACACAGAGCGGGGTCGCCGTGTCGCCGGCCGGTCTAGGATTCGTTGAACATGCCTCGCTAAAACCTCGCGCGATTCTTGGTGGAGAGCCTAACAGTCTCACCGAAAGATGAAGCCCATTGGCCATTGGCCGCCGACATGAACGATGGTCTGAGATGATGAGGCAGAAAAATCCTCATTGGTTGCCTCCCAGGGTGCGCAGCATGAGGCACCGACTCCATCTCCATCCGTTCCCATCTTTTTTTTTTTCTTGCCTCTGCGTGTCTTCCCCTCATAAAGTGAACCCCTACAGACTCGTCCCTTCAGAAGGCCGGAAACACAAAAAAGATTGGAGTCACTGGAGTTGGGATGAGCGTCGTTATGGAGATTATCTGCTCCTGACACCCCGCGTACGCTTGCCAGACGTGGAAACTCGTCCCTGCAAGATAAATGATGACACCCGGCCAATGAGCATCCTGTCGCATGTTCGGACTCTGCGATAGCCCATTCAGCGAACACGTTAGTCACTGATAAAAAGTCCCATGTTCAGACACAAAGCCCCCCCGAAGCCACATGCGAACGGACTGCCTGTGAGACCCCGACATTGGCCAATAACCACCGTCTTCAGTAAAGCCACTAAGGCAAGGTATGACGACATTGCGGAAATATTCTCCCCTAGCCCTGCGCGCGCCGAAGGATTGGGATGGGGCAGCCCTGGGCAGAGTCAGGGACTGTCCCCGTCAACTCCACACAGGACATCTAACGTCCCCATGGATGTTTGTATGGGTACTCGTGGCTGTAGCCTGTCCCTGAATCTCTGATGCAGCAACGAGGAACGCCCAGGACGCACTCATTTGCTTGCGCCTTGTTGGTGTGAGTGAGTGTGTGAGTGTGGCGGACAGACACGTTGGGCGCGTTGAAAGTTTTTTTGCCTTTCCTGTCAAAAATTCTGCGCCGCCCCCAACCCGATCGGCGGTGCTCTCTTAAAACAAAACCCTTTTCCCATCGAGATCTGCTTTGCGCATTTCCTGTTCTTCCCTTTTCCTGTCATCCCCCTTCCTTTTCGCGATTCCCCAAGCTTCCCCCGCGAATCGCCCCTCAAGTTCCTCCACATGCAATCTGTGGCTTTCTTCAGTCTCACTGTCACTACCACGATCGCGGGAAGAATCTAAGCCAGCCCTACCGCCCGGTTGATTAGATTCACTTCCCTCATACACGCCATGGCGCAAGAAGAGCTCAAGGGCCCGGAAGGGTCTGCCGGCGCTCAGAGGGTCTCCCTCGACAGCTACGGCTCCTCTGTCCGGCACAACTCCGACGGTCTGCAGCGCCGCCTCGACAACCGCCAGATCCAGCTCATCGCCATCGGAGGCACCATCGGAACCGGTCTGTTCGTCACCATCGGCGGAGGTCTCGCCAAGGGCGGCCCCGCCTCGCTCTTGATCGCATACACCCTCTACGCCTGCGTCGTCGCCCTGGTCAACAACTCCATCGCCGAGATGAGCACCTACATGCCCGTCTCCGGCGGCTTCATCCGTCTCGCTGGTGTCTGGGTTGATGAGGCTCTCGGCTTCATGGTTGGTTGGAACTACTTCCTCTATGAGGCACTCCTGATCCCGTTCGAAATCACCGCGCTCAATCTTGTACTTTCATTCTGGAACGAGAAGGTTACTGAGCCTGGTCCGACGGCGGGTATCTGCGCTGCCATCATTATTGCATACGGGTAAGTCACCTCGGGTCCTGTGGGATTGTTGACCTTCTTTTCTCCTCCTGCCAGGGCCAAGCGAAAGCGACTAGACCGACCGGACACTCTAGAGCTCTCTGTGCCCCTCGCGTGACACTCGCTTCAAGACTCCCTTTCTTTGCCTTCTTTCTCTCACCCCATGACGTGTTGTGTATGCATGCTAAACGCCGATTGTGTGATTCTAGTCTCATGAATGTGGCTGCTGTGGGCGTGTTCGGTGAAGCCGAGTTCTGGCTCTCCGGCGGCAAGGTCCTGCTCATCTTCATCCTGTTCCTCTTCACTTTCATCACCATGGTCGGTGGAAACCCGGCCCACGACGCGTACGGGTTCCGTCACTTTTCGAATCCCGGGGCGTTCGCGACGTACATGACTACCGGTGACACGGGTCGCATGGAGGGCTTCATGGGTGCTCTGGCCACTGCCACGTTCACCGTTGTCGGCCCCGACTACATTTCGATGATCGCCGCCGAGGCCAAGCATCCCTCGCTCTACATCAAGTCCGCGTTCAAGACGGTCTACCTCCGCTTCGGCCTCTTCTTCGTCGGCGCCGCGCTGACCTGCGGCATCGTGGTCCCGTACAACGACCCGACCCTCGTTAAGATCTACATCGACGGCACCTCCAGCGGCGGCACGGCCGCGGCCTCCCCCTGGGTCATGGCGATGGAGAACCTGGGGATCCAGGGTCTCCCCCACCTGGTTAATGCCCTGCTCTTCACCACCATCTTCTCCGCGGGCAACACGTACACCTACTGCGCCACGCGGTCCCTGTACAGTCTGGCGATGGACGGCCGCGCCCCGGCCGTGTTCCGCAAGACCACCAAGAACGGCGTGCCCATCTGGTGCTTCGCCTTCACCATGATCTTCCCCATGCTCTCGTTCCTGCAGTGCGGCAGCGGCTCCGCCAAGGTGCTCAACTGGCTGCTCGCGCTCATCACCGGCGGCGGCGTCATCAACTACCTCGTCATGTCCATCACCTTCCTGAACTTCCACCGCGCGTGCAAGGTTCAGAACTTCGACCGCCGCCGCCTGCCGTACTACGGCTGGTTCCAGCCCTACGGCGCGTGGATCGCCCTGATCCTGCAGACCATTGTTGTTCTTACGTACGGGTGGTCCGCTTTCCGCCCCACCTTCAGCGTCGGCGATTTCTTCTCCAACTACACGATGCAAATTGTCGCGCCGATTCTGTTCATCTTCTGGAAGGTTATCAAGCGCACCAAGTACGTCAGGCCCGAGGTGCTCGACCTGCAATGGGACCGCCCCATCATCGAGGCGTACGAGGACCATCTGATGACGCGTGAGCCCCCGAACACCTTCTGGAGGGAGATGCTCCAGATGGTTGGCATCGGCCGCAATAAGGTCATCAAGGGCGAGAAGGCCTAATGAGTGGTGGTTGCTTTGGCTTTCTTCATGAGAGAGGAAGGCTTATATATAATGAATAATTATTAAAAAGAATATTTCATCACAATGACGTTTTTTTAACAGCTTAATTTGAGTGATGGTGGAGGAACAGCTCCGAGAAATCGGCGATTGTTTCACCTAAGTCCCCTTGTGGTGGGTCTCCGAGTGGACTCATCGTGGATCCAACAAGAGTTTCCGGATGTCATCGAGTTCTCTCACATTCCCATGGGTGTTCATCTGCAGTTACCATGACTTTCATGCCACTTTTTCAACTTACATTGCTATGTGGGTGAGTACCTAGGCTCTGGATAATGCGGGCTACAAGGACGCCGTACGTGACGAGAGTGGCGGATGGCAATCTGATCATCGAAAACACTGATACTAAATACAAATGCACAAGAAACACTTGGCAAACTAATAGTAAGAAGTCCGAAGACGATTCTGTTCGACGAGCTCTCTGAAGCTGAGTTCAAGGGTTACATGGATACTAGATGTGCTGGGAAGGGTCGTCAACTACGGGAGAAGTTTCATTACTAGATCTCACCGGCCGCTGCTAGCCTATTCCGAATTCGGGGTTCTGAACGCCAACTCCGTCTAAGAGTCAAAAGCTCCGTGAAGAAAAGCCCCGAGCGGACTGGGACCCCTACATCAGCGGTCGGGACGGGTGTGGCGTGCAGGATCAGGAGCCACTACTCGTGGCAGTTAACGGTGTGGCACTTGTGCCTTACGTGGCTACCGTAACGTTGCCGGTAACCGATGGACTGGTAGATCAAGTGATTATCGGATAAAGATGGTTCGCCATTCGGATCAAGCCGTAAAGCGAGAAGCAGGGGGGCTACTCACTTTGGTCTGGAACTTCGGCCTGGAAGCTTGCGCCAAATCCTCCAATCACAAAGAGAGAACATCAACAGAAATTCATGTTCCGAAGGTGGGCGGCCAGCCCGCGAGCGGAACTCTCAAGTAACCAATCTCGAAGTTCAATAGCCAATGATTCAAATATTCTGCTCAAGACTCCGCGAAAGGGCGCCTCGCTTTCGCGGCATTCCCAGAACCCGGGTCTCTATCAGACCCGTGCTTCATTCACCATGACTCGTTTTGCGACAAAACACAAGTACCACGCCTCGCAACTTGCGCGCTGAGAACTCAGATTCAAGACAAATTAATCTATTATCGTTCAGTTGATAATAAGAGAGCACGGGTCCCATTCGTCTCAACGCGCCTCACGAGGAAATTGCTGGGCCTCCCGAAGACATGAGACGAGCTTCTTCCACCTTTTGAGCCCAGCCATATCTAATTTGTGGAGGTTTACGCCACACTATGAAAATTCTGTTTATACTTTAATAGATACTTACTATGTATTATAATACTATTTATAATAACTAAGAAAGCTTTAATCTAGGTTTATAAGAATATTATTAATAACTTTAATAGCTTATAGATAACTCACTATATAAGATTATATAGGAGGAAGAATATAGGTTTTCCTCTACTTATTAACTATCCCTAATAAGATTAACTTATTATATCTAAACCTATATTAACTAGAATACTAATTATAAGAATAACTAATAACTAAATAAAAGTAAAATATTACTCTATCTAAATAGTAAAAGAAAATAAAGATAAACTTAAATAGTTTATTAATAATACTTTCCCTAATATTATAACTAAGGATAATTATAAAGATTACTATAAATACCTTATCTATATCTTATAAGTTATTATATATCTCCTATATCTATAAAATAGTAAACTAGATATAAAGTATATCTATTTATAGCTCTAGTAAATATATTAATAGATAAGAACTTTATAAGAACTTAATAATAAAGAGTTTAAAGAGGATATTAATAAGTTAGAGGAAATTTTATAATATAAGGACTATATAAATAAAATAAGTATAGTAATGGTTATGGTCTTTCTTAACTAGAAAGGAGAAACGAAGAGGGAAAGGGGGTAGCTATAAGGGTAGCCTGCGTGCTGGCAGAGTTTCTAAAAAGTACACTTTAATACACTATGTCACTTCACAGTGAAAGACATGAGACGAGCTTCAACCATCCCGCCGGGCCATTTCTCTCAAAGGTTAATCTTGCTAGTTCGTCTCATTTCTCTCTTCTGGAAAAGGCTGCCCGGAAGCTCGGCGGCGTGTTGTCAATCATGCACACTAGCCAATGCTTAGCCTGGGGATGAGTAGAGCATTAAATACTCGGTGTTGTCGCTGGTGTTGTTCCTTGCCGTTGATCTTCGCTCTAGCCTGCAACACCATCACACTCTTTCAAGTCCATCCAACCGTATCCATTCTTTAGTCACCTTTCCAATTACCTACAATCTTTCAAAATGAAGTTCTCCATTGTTCCCGTTGTCTTCGCCCTCGCTTCCAGCGTTTACGCTGCCCCCAGCGCGCAGCCTGCCGAGCATGCTGAGCTCGTCGCTCGCGGCAACTGCGGTACCGCCGCCAAGGACTGCCAGTGCTCAGCGTAAGCAACTCTACTACAATTACTGGCTGAGAAATGGTACTGACATACACCGCAGCAAGTTTGACAAGTTCGCTAACCCGGCGACCCTTGGCTCCACCGTCTCGGCCCGCATCTCGGGAGCCGACCGCGGCCTGACGTCTTCCGACTGGAAGGGCTCCAACGGCGAGGGTCAATCATCGCTTTGCAGGGTCACCGTCGATCGCGTTTGTGGAGACTGCTTCTCTTGGAAGACGACGACGGATAAGTGCGGTTTCTACGGTCTCACCAGCTTCGCCTGCGTCCCTGCGTAGACGAGAGTGAGGGGTATTGTCTGTAACCATAGCCATTATCCTAGCGTCCATGCACGGGATCTTCATTTCTTCACGACTCGGCTTGATTTCTACGCCGTTGTTGCTAGGCTGGTCTGCCTGGTGTTAAGCTTAGCATCAATAGTACTTTATTGTCACGAATGTTGATGAAATCGCGAATCAAACCTGATGAACACAACGCGGATATTCAAGAAGCTCTAGAATAAAAAGAATTACTCGACTGGAGCTGTTGAATCGAATGCAGTTGCAAGATATTTAAGCAGGGGTGCAAATATGTGAACCGGCTGTGGCTTCATCACCACCAGACTGCGAGAGCAAGTTCCCATGTATATTCAGGACCCACAACCATCTATGGCGCACAAAACACTCTTCCGACTCTCAAGGTGCCTGAGGGCGTGCAAACATCCCGACCTTTGCGGTCTTCGGACTTCACCGTGACTTCTCTCGCGTTGACGTAAGGAGTCTCGTTTACATCGCTGCACTTCCGAGGAATGTTAACCAAAGAAGCAGGAAGAGGCATCCCCGAGACCTACGCAGTAAGTATGCAGCTTATTATTCTCACAATCTCCGTTGCCCTCAGTGCCACCGTTGCAGTATAACGTTGTGGCGGCTGCCATTGAGGCGAATAGCAAAAAAGTAATGCGCATGATTTCGATGTGTGCAGTGTAGTCTGGTATGAAGATCGTTGCTAAGTGCAGTGAGTATGTAGCCAAACGCCCAGTGTGATCCTGCAGGGGCTTATGCTGAGTCGCTGGTATTTATGCTCATGATGGCGCATTGTGCTCAATGACCGAGATGTCTATTCGGCATGATCTAGATCAAAATCATGGAGCTCACGCTTCCGCCTCCCCGACCTTTCGGTGAAATACCTCCTAAAAAGGATAGCACGCTAATTATTTGAGGAAATGGGGCCCGAAGCTGTCGCAAAATTACGCCGTCCGAAACTCTACCGCAACTGACTTACAGGCACCTTGAGTCAAGATTCAGCTAGAGAAATGGAAAAGTGAAATATAGTCCTTGTATACCTTGTCCAACATGCATGCACAATTACCCCGCTGGACCCTCTTGCAAGTAATACGTCGTTAATCTTGAGTTGAGAGCTGCAGCAAGCCGGGCCTCCTCTGGTGTCTCAAGATACACTGCAGCGATGTGTTGGAACCTCGCAATGCCAGGTATGTGGTAATTGAAACCACCAGAACAAGCAGAGAGTCACATTTAGAGAACCTTTTCCGCCCACTGCGTCCAAACCACTATTGTCCCATCTAAGGGAAGTCTGCATGCTCTCGTGACAATAGAGTGGATAACTCACTCGATGGATTGAAGTAAGAGTACCCCGGGATCATGCCAAGTCACACTAGTCTTCACATTTGCACACAATCCATAAGGGTTTTCTGGTTGGGATATGCCATTTGCAACAACAGCAATTTTCTCCTCGCACCCTAATATACAGGTTACGGTAAGACTGGGCACCAATTGTTTTGCCTGAAATCAACACCGTTTTGGTGCTTCATTTCAGGAGACATCTTGAAATCCCGCTGAACGATTCTTATCGACGGATTGGCGTGAACAGTGTTCAACAAGATTCCACCGCCATGTATGGTGCCACGCATCGACTAATTCCTTCAGCAAGCATTACTGTGTTTACAAGCCTGGCACGCTTGACTTTATCGTTCGTATTGGATCCTCTCAGTCGCCGGGGATTGAACTGCACTGAGATAGACTGACACTGAATGATGCTGTCAGAGTCGAGTGTCAATCAGACAAGTCTGTCAGCGTCACATGCTATGCAGTCGATGAACGCTCATTTTGTCTCCGATGAGCATGTGCTACGAGTCTTTTGATGTCAGCCTGCGCCCACCCGTTCGAAATGCGGTTACCGAGACTAGACACGAAGACCATAGGGCTCTCTCTGAACCAACTAAGTTCTTGAACTTCCATGCAGTATAGTCTGAAAACTTCGAGAGAAATGCTTGGCATTCCACGCCCAGGCTGCAGATAACGGGCTTGGTAGTTAGCTGAGAGGTGTTTTGCGCTTGGCGCCAGCTGACTAACGCCCTGAAGTCCGCCAATCGCTCATCTCAAGTCTGTTGGTTGTCGGTATCGTGCGTCTACTTTTCTTCAACCCCTCTTTTAATAGCCTCACGTAGACTGTCCACAACAACGCCACATACAAGCAATCGCCCACCCATAATGACGCTTCTAACCAAAATGGCACCCCTAGTCTGGATGCAGCCTGCTGCGGGCTCTGCAGCAGCCTTTCGGGAGGACGAATTTGTCTCCCTCTGGTGCGACATGTACGCCATGCTACTGAGGCTTAACTTTTGGAAACGCGAGGATGTTATATTCCCGCAGGCAGACACGGGGAGGCACGCTCAGCTGGACACTCAGCGTTTGTTGAACGAAAAGGGGATGAGCCCGGAGGCTGTTTCACTCCTTGAGCGGCTGCCTTACCCCCGAATCGCGTCGTACCGGCGCATGCGCATTTATCGCGAGGCCGACGCCATGAATTACTTGGAGGGGGATGATGTGAACGGTTGTCGCGATCCGCACGATATGGCGCAGTATTCTGCCCACCCTGAAAGCTTGAATGATGCCAGCTACCTCCTGCCTCAAGACGTCGCCTTAGCCCGCCCTGATGAGAGTGATGGTCTTGCCTGGATCCTGGATCTTAGTCACAGTATGTATCTTATCTTCCTTTCATCCAAGTCTCTGTCATTTCAGGCCCTGGGTACCGCCTTACGTAGACATAGGAACAGCTAAGCTGATGGGAAATCAATCAAGATGCCTTTAGATTCGTCTCTGGGCCCCTTGAAGCTCCAGCCAGAGGAGTTCCGGGTGGTCCTCCCCGGGACTACCCGGTTGAACGGCCGGACGACCCGGATCACTACAGAAACTGGCCCATGTACCATGCGCCGACTGTCCTGCGGACGTGGATTCAGGACGTACTCGATCTTGAACTGGTTCCAGCCTCAAGTCAAGGCGAGTACTGGAGCACTTCATCTGTAAGCTCGACGCAGTAGCCTAATCATAAGCTCTGAGGTTTTGTAAACTGAAAAGTTGTCGGTAGGAAATTCTTGGCCAGGTGATTGGCAAGGCCCTAAGACTTTACGGCTGGCCAGCTGAGTTTCGCGAGCAGGACTGGGCGCGTGACTCTGAGCAGATTTATCTTGCCGCAGGCGAAGTCGAGGAGCGTTATGAAGATGGATTCGATTCACATAAGTTTGGACGAGACAGACAAGAGCTTCTTTCTCAGTGGAGAGAGGATCCGGACCTTATTCCGGATGTTGGTTTGGATCTATCATAGAAGTATGGTGAGATTTTCTCACAGGGTGCATGCGACCTCTCAATGTGTTGATTTCAGCGACTACATATTTTGCTGAGAGCCACTGCATTGGCTCAGATACATACAAAGCTCGAATACATCAATCTTTCTCCACCAAGCCAAATATACTTATGCTCTTGGAGTTACCGTCGGTGGCGCTGTTGCTGTTGGGAGACTCTCCTGCAAGCTTCTACCAGTCATGGCCGGAAGACTTCGCTCAGCGGCCCCGGTCTCCTTCTCCATCGGATCAACTGCCGTCGCCGTGGCCTCAAGTGAAGTCGGCATGGGGTTCCCGTTCACGTCAAGCCCCAGAGCCGCCTTCTCGTCAATACAGTTAGGTGAGCGACAAGGCAAGATCCCCAGATGCTCCAGCAACTCATCTGGCGTTGCACGCCGCGACTGATTTCGGTCATCCACGATCCCGAAGCCGTCCTCTTCAGAAAAGTACACATCACCGTCATTTCGGCGCGGAAGAACATGACCCTGGGTCACGACAAGAGGAGGAGGTCGACGGTATCTCGCTGAATCGATTCCCACGCCATTACCAGTTCGGTACCATGGATCGTTCGTCAGGAGAGGGAAACCCGGGTCGTTAAAGTTAATATTAGGGATACATGGGTTCTGATTCAGATGGTCGTCCCATAGAGCTGTGATCCCCCAACTAGGATCCCAAGGAGCGTAGCCAATGCTGAGAACAGTTTGTGTTTTGGTCGTTTTGGAGCTGACATGGCACGTGCGACTGCCGCCCGATATTGTCTCAACCGTAGTTTCTGACTCCATCGTCACAGGGCAGACGCGATTAACGAGATGATTACCCGCGGGGCCGTTCTCGCTTTTGGGTAAGCTATTGGGATGGTTAGATGTCTGTCGTTTATGGCTACACGGGCATAGGGTTTACTCACACTCTAACGAACTGAACCGGCGGATTTGGCGCGCCGATGAATCTGATGAACGGATACTCGTCTCTTTCACATTGCTCACCGCCAGGCTTAGGAAGCCACTGTGTCCAGGCCGAATGCTGGCTATTCCATGACCTGGGGACGCTTCTGTGCGCAGTTGCCCCAGGCAACCACTCCCAAGGACACAGGAGGTGATCGCTCTGCGCAGCTGGGTTATGGCCACTTGCAAACCAGTGTTTCGCGACAGACACGTAGTTGTGGCAGGCCTGTGGCCACGCTACCATATTGCACTCCTTCACTGTCGTTGTAGAGACGGTTTCTGTCGTCGAATGGGTTAATGTGGTGGTGCAATCTCCGAACTCGTCGTCGTCATCCAGACCGGGCCACACGAAATCGCTTCCTTGGGGGAGGTTGTAGGGGGTATATCCCATCATTTCGAGGTCCTCCATATCGCCATAACGCATGTTGTTGCATCCATCGTACCCGTCGAACATTCCAGGCAACGTTGGTTCCCAATCCATTCCACCAAGGTTGGACGACCTACGACGGATCTTATCGAGGATGCCGCGAACTGCGAGGAGGCCTGCAAGACCTCCTCCTATTCCCATGCCTCCGAAGTCCATTTCGTCGCACCATCTTTTGCTAAGCTTACTTTCAACGCTATCGCAACACTAAGTCGTCGCGAAATCCGCATGGTCAGCCAGTTGCGTGAGTTGAAACCGTCCGAAAAGCAACACTTACGTATGAGGCATATGTGCCTGGGAAGCACTCCTTAGGAGTATCTCCATCACCGTCGCTCGGGGGCATGTTGTTGTTGGCGAGATGGATCGAACCCTTTGGGCAACCTCCAGATCCTCTGAGGAGCCCCCTAATAGAAAGAAGCCCAGAGGGAGGGTTGCAGAAGAGCGGTTTTCCAACCCAGGAGCAGCCTTCGACCGCAATGTTGTCTGGCACGCATAGAGATCGCTTGCCACGGCCTGCTCTCTGGTTTTCAACGTTTCTTGGTCCTCGGTTGAGCATGCATTCTTCGACGTCTTTGCCAGATCCGGCCCACTACTCATTTGTATCAGGTCTTGTTCATGAACTTTTGGGATACGAGAGATGGAATGATATCAACACTTACAACTCCAGATGCTTTGGCGATATAGTGCCACCCTATGGGACAATCCTTGCCACAATCGGTGAGAATCATTTGCTACAAACTCAACATATTAGTTTGGTTGTACAGATTCACTGTCAATACATGCCGATACGTACCGCTGCGGCCTCGTTTTGTGACTTGAGGTCTCGGTCTACACGGATTGCCGCGTTCACAGACAGTTCCTTGAACATTCCTCCAGGCAGGCCTCCGGGAAGACCCCCACCATTTCCACTTCCGCCGCCAGAGCTTGAGCCTCCCGATACCAGAGCCTGGAGCGTCGGGGAGCCGGGTTCGTCGAGGTCGACTGCCCAGATCATCTTGCCGGCAAGACATCTGTTATTAGCAAACTGTGTCTTCAAGGCCAGCGTTTCGCCGTCATCATACGATACCCTGAGAAGATCCTGTCAATACCTTTGGCAGAAAGTCAAGAGATCCAAAGTAGCTCACCATTGGCCTTCCCAGCTGATGTACTTTATGCCAGCCTCCCTATCGAGAATTGGCTTCACTCCAGTACGATCGAGGACACGGCGGATCTCAGCATTGGAGAGGACACCAGAAGTATCCATGCAGTACCCAGCATCAGCTCCGCCCGAAAACGGACACATTGGTTCAGTACAGCTGGGATCCTGGAGAGTGAAAGATCGCCCATAAAACCCGAGCCCGAGAACGACCTGACTAGGTCTGATATTATTGCGCCACAGAAGATCCAGTCCGTCATCAATCTCTGTATGAGTTCGAGGTACAGTCAGCCACTTGCGATATGAATTATCGTATTAATGGAGTCTAACCTGTTAGGTTCGTGTGCGGCTGAACAACAGGTTGTGACCACTCGCTGTTTCCGTCCCATGTGCCGTGGATGTCGTAGCTCATGATATTAAACTACGGTATCACTGTCAGTCCAGAAAACTCTACCAGAGGATGTCGGCAAGACGTACCCAGTCGATGTGTGCTGACATCGCCCCAACATCAAAGTGCCGCAGATACCCTTCTATAGTGTCAGGATTCCAATCCACAAAATGGACAATAACATTTTGTCGACGGACTCACAGTTGGAGGCAGGAATAGCCACGGTTATTTCCTTTTGCGCAGGAAGCGCTCTTCGAAGTTCGCGTACAAGGTGAACATAGTTCTCCTTGTCCTCAGGCGCTCCATCTCGGTCAGGGGAAACAGGGTACTCCCAGTCAAGATCGATACCGTCAAACCCGTAAGTATCCAGAAGATCAATGACTGACTGGATAAACACAGCACGCCTCTCCTGAGTCCGAGCCATGTTGGAAAACGGCGGTCCGCTAGCAGCCCAGCCACCGACTGCGATAGAGACCTTGAGATTAGGATTCTGGTTTTTGAGGGCGATGGTCCTGGAATACAATCCTGTGTCGAACTCATTCATCGCCGCTATCCGATAGTCGGCTCCAACAAGAGCGAAGGCATAGTTGATGTGAGTGAGCAGCTGTACGTCAATGTCCTCAGGACGCCACTCGCAGCCTGGCCGGCGCAGCGCCCAGCTCTCGTAGTATGCAATTGTCTTCCTATTGCTCATCCCTGAGCTTGCGCCGCAGGATCTAATGGCATCAATGGCATGTCAGCAGCCGACATCAAACCAGGCAAAGGCTTTGAACTCACGGTCGAGTGGGAGAGCCACAGTTGCTCTGGCATTTATCGTCACAAAACAAAGTTGTAGTTCCTTCACATTGTCAATCATCGGTCCGAGAGGGAACATTTGGAGCACGTACCGCAGAAACCATCGCCGCTACAGCAAATATTCAGCGGACAAAACTCATCTTCTGGAAGGGCATATTCTGTTCAGGAAGCTTCAGCAGCTCCTCTTTGAAATAGGCTGATGGGAAGGTATCATACGTCCGCATTCTGCGACAGCATCGCATGTACCCTGACAACCGTCTTCGCAGAAGTCTGGACCAAACCCACAGAAGCCAAACTGGCCGCAACAGCCGACACTGCATGGGTTGGACGACGAGCATCCACCATCTTGTTGAAGGAAGTCCGATAGTCGTAAAGAGCTGTTGTTTTGAGCCCAAGAAATGTCAAGCAGGCCAGTGAAAATAGCTAAAGCGCGCAAACTGAGTGCAAGCGAGACCCTCATGATTGTTGACGAGACGGAGACTAGACAACAGGTCTCAGTATGATTCCATACAGTGCTCCGAAAGGCGAGCTTTTGGATGAACACACGAAAAGCTCAAGTAACTACTTATCAGACGGGACGGAGTCGGCCGCCTTGTCGTCAGAAGTTCTTGACTTTTCACCGGCCCATCTTAGCCGTCACATCTTGGCGTTGTAACCCTGAGTTGGAAGTCAGCTCTCCTGAGTCTCGCATGCATATGCCAAGGCAAGAAAAACGGGTGGCAATATCGTGAGGGTGTCTAGGCTGCCTTCGGAGCACTAACCATGCAGGTGAAATGATGCGCGTGGGCTCCGCTAAACAACCTCTTGGCTTCACGTCTGGACCCTGCAGCCACAAGGATCATACCAACCCATGTAGTTGGCATTTCTTGCAAATGACCCTGAACACGGAATCCGGGTCTAACAACAAGCCTGGACGAGGCATCTCCTCTCTAATTCTCATCCGAAGCGCCCACGTACTTGTAGGCTATGAGACATACGAGCCCACACAGCCGTCCATCACGCCCTCTTTTCACTCCCATTGTCAACCAGGACTATCATTCTACGCCATGCCTAGGACGATGATGCTTTTGTTCTCGCCGCTTCTAACATTTGGGGGCTCCGCCATGGCCCAGGTGAGCCTCTTTGGCGGTAACCAGGTCCAGCTCTTCAGAACTTTGGAATTGAGCAGAGCCTGCACCGTCGCTCTCAGCACGCCCCTCAGATGCCCGTCCTTAGTGCAGAGCCTGTCGTATCCCGACTATGCCTTAGGTGAGTTGCACAAAGCCACAGGTGGGAAGATCATCATAAAATTCGTAACTGACACAGAGCGAAAACAAGGCATTACTACCGAAAGCCTGGATGCGCTCTGCGGGTTGAATTGTCAGACGGACATATCGGACGTGGCCGAACGCCTGGCTTTGAGATGTGCCGGAGACGTCCTCAGCCTGCAGATTGGAAATATATCCTTCGCCGAATTTGGCGAGTTTGTCAAGCACCGATCGGATATGCTTTGCCTCAGAGAAAGCTCCGAGGGGCGCTTCTGCCAGCTGGCCATGGCCGAGTTAGTGTTCTCATTCTGAATAAGTGCCATTTCACCTTCTGTTGCAGAGATTGACATCATGTGCTTGCTCCAGATGGGACATTTCTGAGTCCGACGATAGTCTCACCTGGCCGGAGCATACCTCCAAGTGCTGGATTGATGAGGAAACGGGGGAATGTTTCCCAGAAGACGAGTTCGCGGAAGAATACGTAGATAACAGCGAAGTTCCGGGGTGGATGTTTCCAGCAGACGACTACGCGGCCGAGGATTACTTCCGAGACCGCAGCGGAGTCCTCGAAGGCGCGAAGCTGCACAGTATGGGCAGTTCTCGATCTCTGGACTGGGACGAGTATCCTCTCGAGATCCAGTGCAGCCGTTGCTTTTGGTAGGCAGTGATGGGTAGTTCATACGCCTCAGCTCGATGGTACTAATACACTGCATTACAGGAAGACTTTTGCTTTGGGACATGAGAGCCAGTGGGCACACATGCGGTGGGAGTAAGTGAGACAATAGCGATACAGCAGCAAAAGCAACTGTTACTTGGAGACGGTGAACTAATATGTTAGCGCACCTTCATAGCTTTTGGACGGAACAGATCTGGGCCAACATGGTCCGCAATTGCGATATTCTTGGTGAAGAACGCATTATCACCCCGTTCAAAAACCTTACTGAAATCGAAGTGTAAGTTGGCGCGCTTCACTTTCAACTTACGGATATGTTTCATAAAAGACAAATCTTCAATCTGACACCGAAAAGGCCCCCGGATACTGGCTCAGGTATGGATTGGGATCTTTGCCCCAGCACCACCACGGTCTCGCCAACAAACGAAGACTTGATCTGGGAGTTCGCGCAGAAGGCCTCTCTACCTATTGCTTGTGTTCGAAGATTCAATCCGGCGGAGTACTACAGCGCTGAGTCCCTCCAGGGCAGGCGACTCTGCCTCCCTCTCACCTGCGAGACCGCCATCGTTGACGAGATCACGAACGTTCAAGACTTTGTAGAGAAGCATCTCGAGGGTGTCGCCATGTATCAATTTCTCGAGTGGAATCAGTGTCTCCACAAGTCGAGCATGCTCCTCAAACACGATACGGTCTGTCTTGGCCCTCACAGGGGAAGATTTACGCCAACGACGACGGGCGTCGCTCAGTCGACCATATTTACCACAACTGCGTCAGTTCTCCCATTCTTTCCCAGTATTGACTTCAAAGGATAATTTGATTGACGGTGGCGTAGAACCCCGGATCCCACCGCTCGCCCTCCTCCACAAACTATTCGCAACTGTGGGCTGTTCCATATCATCACCGAATCAGACACGTGCACGGCATTGTCATTGAGATATCGAGTGACTGTCCAGAAGCTCAGAAGTAGGTCGAAACTCCGATGAGGTCGATTAGGCCGCCTGCTAACAAGGTGCCAAAGACATGAACCCGACCATTGATAGCGAGTGTACTAATCTGTCTGTCGGACGCTCATACTGGTAAGACGAAGTCTTATTCCGCAAATTCCCCGAAGATGCCTCGATTCCTAACCAAGCGTCCCAGTGTTGCTCCCGTAAATGGTACTGAAGTTCCTGATGTAACCACCACGTATCCGGCTCCCTCAAGCACATCAAGTGAAAGTGGCATACCCCAGCAGAGAATAGCATCAACAGTCTTGACTACTGCCCCTGTAGAATGAACAATCCAAGGCCCAGAGGAGGGACCATTGTAGCATAATTTAGATTCTCGGGGAGACGGGTTCTAGTGTGGGGACCACCAAAGACCCTGAAAATTCAATGTGGCTTTCACTCCACCGGCCATGTTTCCTCAGTGGGCTCATAATCAAGTGTGGCGACCTGCACCATCATCACTTCAGCTCCATGTCCCTTCCGTGCATCGTTAAATTGCGGGTGATGTGCGATACCTGAGCCAAGTCTTGTTGGTGGCGGGGTCCTGAGTTAACCTTGACGCCGAGAACGTGATAGGGTATGCCTGAACGGATTCCTACCGCGCCGCATAGGCGCTGCCGCTTTGCCCGTGTTTAGCGGCCGACATCCCCTGTGATAGACCCATGCAAGCGTAGATATTTGCATCGGTCGTCGGAGTTGTAGCCGAACTGAATCTGTTCCGTTGTGGCCAGAAAAGGAAGAGCCTGGCAACCGCGCCTTTGAGCGCTTTTCTCTTCATGTGTCTGTGCGGCACAGCAGCAATCCAATGATGTTGAACTTGCATCGCAACAGTTGGTTGGTGCTATGGAGAAAATTGAGGCCATGAACCCTCACATGTGCATGTGCTCAATCGGCCCAGCTCTGCAATGATGGCACCCAAGAGTTCTTGGCTTGGCTTGGCTAAAGAATTTTGGGCTCATCCCGTGGCTGCATGGTGAATGAGAGATGGCAAAAGAGTTGGAATCAGCGAAAAGGGGACTTATGTTGGTGTTAGCAATTTGTTTCTTGCAGCGGACTCAACTCGTCACCCGACTAGTTCCCACCTTGGCGAGTCTTTTAGGAGCATCGCGAAGGCCGCCCAGTCGACTGAAGAGTGGGAACAGAGAAATTAGCACGCATGAGTTATCTCGGAGGGAACTCGCACAGATGGAGAAGCAGGGCGTGGGAAATTTTGAATGATTCTAGAGTTTCTGATATGCATGCGATCACGAAAATGAGCCCAGCTGAGAGCTTGAGAAGGCACTATATGAGCTGGCGAATGGTACTCTAGTTTGCCCACATCGGCCCAGATCATCCCTCATTCAAGGGAACATCCGTCGATCTGCAAGCTTTACCCGAACTTGGCCTTTGCTCAAATCAGCCATGTCTCGTTTCACTCAAGTTCTTTTCCTAGCAGCTGCGGCAACATCCGCCGTGGCTCGCAGTCCAACACCTCGGTTCCCTTATGACGACAACACGTCATCTTACTGCACGTGGTGGTTGAACTACGAGGGTAACGAGAGTTGCGACGATATTCTGGACACCAACTGGATCACCATCGAGGAGTTTAGGCGATGGGTAGGCATCAATCCACATTTTCATCTTCTTGAGACAACACTCGAATATTAAGATAGCTAACGATATGCTACACAGAACCCATCAGTAGGCGCAGCCTGCTCGGGCATGGAGACGGAACGATCATACTGCGTCGAAGCCTTCGGTGAGCCTGAGCCGACGGCCGTTCCCACGCCCACGCCCACTATCACTCCAACTCCAACCATAACTCCCGGTAATGGCATCACCACTCCTCAGCCCACCCAGCCCGGCATGGTTGACAACTGCAACCGGTTCTACTTCGTCGAGGCAGGCCAGAACTGTGCTGATATCGCGTCGGCACACGGCATCTCTCTTACTCAGTTCACTACCTGGAACCCAAGCGTAGGAGGTACAACCTGTGGCGGCCTTTGGGCCAATGTCAACGTCTGCGTCGGTATACTTGGAGGCACTCAGACAAGCGTTCCTCCGGCTACGACAACCACTTCCGCCGGCAACGGCATCTCGACGCCCCAACCCACCCAACCCGGAATGGTCAACAACTGCGACCGGTTCTACTTCGTCCAGTCGGGAGACTCTTGTGTCCAGATTGCCTCAAACCACGGTATCTCAGTCACCCAGCTCGCAACATGGAACAATGTGGGTGGTGCCGCCTGCGGCGGGCTCTGGGCCAACGTCTACATCTGTGTACGTGTTATTGGGGCGACCCCAACCACCGCTGTTCCAGCTCCACCGACGACAACCGCCCCGGGTAACGGCGTTTCGACTCCTGTTCCTACACAACCTGGCATGGTTGGGAACTGCGACCGCTTCTACTTCGTTGAGTCTGGTGACACGTGTGTTGCGATTGTGTCGCGATATGGCATCACGCTTGCGCAGTTTACCACTTGGAATAACGTTGGTGGGTCTGGTTGCGGCGGCCTCTGGGCTAATGTCTGGGTATGCGTGCGTATTCTAGGTTGAGCCTTCTCGATTTCAAAACAGTTCAGACTGGAGATTCAGATCTAAAAAGAAGAATCACATATTAGCACAGAGAAATTCACTTGACCAGACGAGTCTTAGGGAGAAACAATCTATGCCAAAGCCAATTGCGCCTTTCAGAGTGCTTGCGTCGTGTACTTAATTATCTGACTTGAAGACACTAAGCTGCGCCTCCATCCAGCCGCAGCCAATTTAGGAATAGTGGTGCCTTCAGCACAGGTCCCCCTTCATAAGTCACCGTCGAATGTAGAGCTGAGTGGCTTAGAAATAAAAACAATATCTCAGCCTCTTTTCCTCCACACACCGAGACCTCGTATACGGATCCCTTACAGCTGAGTTAATGCCCCGCGTTGTCAACATTGGCAGCACAACATCACGCGGTCAAGCCGTTGTCTTGGGGAAATGAGGTTAAGACACCACCACTCTATGCGACGCGCTGAGACATCAGTCATCTCGTGATGGTCCAAATACGCTGCGTAATTCTGATGAAGCAGTAGATATTCGGCACTTAAGCCCAAGATTGCCCTCACAACTTTGGCCGCGTTCTCTGTTCCTCAATATCAGAGTGAAGTTCAGATTTCACCTCCAGGGGCCAATTTACTTCCATCGAAATGAATATTACCACATTTCTAAGCATATTTTACGTTGCGCCCGCGCTGGTGCTCGCTGCAAGCTGCAACAATAACTGCGGTCGGCAAGTCGCCGGAACAGGACGACGAGACCCTCCTCTCTCTTCAAGATCATCTCTGTGTTCAGACTTCGTGACTACCTATGTCACAGTCGCACGTGGGTATGAATTGTGCCACGCCTTTCGAACATTACAATCATCGACTGACATGTATCAGACCACCCACCGACACACCGCAATCGCGCGAAGAACCCTCGGTGCCGATTGTCACGGGTACCAAGCCTACTTATGCCAGCGCTTGTCCGGTCCAACCGCCTACTGGTCCGCCTGCCAATGCTTCACCGGGGTCAAGGCCACCACCATCACTATAGTAGCGGGAGCGGAAACAACGACCAGCAGCATCCCATCTTCACAGATTATCAGCACGCCTCTTGTCACGACGACCGCAACCCCCACGTCCGACTCTCCGTCTCCTTCGTGTACAATCGGCGCAGAGTTCGCGCTCCATATCATCGAAGAGGAGTCGGACCTGTGCCAGAATATGCTCCTAGACCCATACTTCGGGCCTGAGAACTACGACATTGAAGGTCTCCTCCAAGGCAGACATCCTATGGGTGTCGGCACCACGCGGTATATTGAATTTGAACAGCAGGATGACAGCTTGCCTATCAACTATGGCGGCGTCCAAGGTCCCCCTGGATCCAGCCTGAAGTGCAACATCCTTGTACACCGCGGTTATATTAAAGCCACTCTGCCCGGCGCTTACGAGTTTCTCATTAGCGAACCCCCACGCGAGGATGTTCTTTTTGTGTGGTTCGGCGACAAGGCCAAATCTGGGGCATTCAACGTCAGTAACGCCGATATCATTGTACCAAACGATAATGGGTGGCCCTATCGCTATTTCGTTTATTTCAAGGACGCCTCGGAGTACATACCTTTCCGCATGTTCTGGTCTCATGGGAGGGGACGTAGTGAATTCTTCGTGGGAATCTTCCCAACGTATCCTGTTGGCTTAGACGAGGACGTGGAGCCTGAGAATCCAGTCTTCTACTCGAACTGTTCTGGTAGCAAGAGCCCTGCTCCGGCTTGGCCTTCCTGGGAAAGTGAGGACTACTCCGGAGGAAATTGATCAAAGATGGTTTGCCTGAGAGTGGGTAGCCTCCCAAGTTTGAAAGATAGCATCATGTAAAGAGAGGTTTTCCACAGGGACCGGACATGGATGGAACTTTCTATCTGCCTTTCTAAAAGTCAACGAGCATCCTTCAAGCTACCGAAAACATGTGCGGACAACTTTTCCATGACTGAAAGAGATTCTCATCGAAATAATATCTTTTTGGAAAACAGCTAAGGTCCTGGAGTAGATCTTCGGCATTGAGCACCCATCAGGTTGATCTACACTGAAGCTAGACATGTTAAGTACTCGACTATTTTTTGTGGATGATTGCATTGATTGTGTTTTATCACTTCGGCTTTCTCTGTGTAATGTTTTCCTTAGGTATCTTGGAAGCTCGAAAGTTCAGATGCTGGTGTTGCACATAGTTGAATGACGAGCGAGTATGAAATGAAAAGCCCTGAGGGACTTTCTCTGATCAGAGACTGTATTACTATTCTAATGTGTCCGGTAATGCGAAGCGTTTGAGAGACTTAGTGAGTCATACGCCGCGTGCTCGAAACCTTGTGTCTTGATCTTGCCTTGGTGCATCCGCAAGCAATTGGTTTATTATTTGGCCGGGCTGCCACCGCTGGGAGTGTTAGGGGGAGGGCGAGGAGCGGGGGGAATAGGGCGAGGAGAAGGGACGGCCATGATTGCTATTTTGAGCGTGGAAGGTGGCAAGTTGTAAATGTCGATGCGGTGGTTTCTGGTGTTTGCTGCTGTGATAAATCGTAAGTAAGTTTCCAAATGGGAACGCGAATCTTTTATAGGATCTTATGACTGTATGAGGAACATGGTGAGCAATAGACATGATCAGTGTTTAGCAGAAAACATGAAGTCAACTTTGTCTTAGGCCTCATCTCATGTCCGAAGACTCGTCGTGCCCAACACCGCGCATGGCATAGTGAATCCGGGGGAAGCGCAAGTGATTCATAGCCTCTTCGAGACCTCCGAAAGCTTTCAATAATAGTAGGTTGCGCTGTGGGAGCTTTTCTGCCTCTCCTTTCGAAAGACGGTTTACCCATGGAAGGCATGCAGCAGCTGTAAAACCCCATCGTCCCTAAACACTCATGTAGCAGTCACGCACAGGTCCCAGCTGTCAGTTACCAAGTGGATATCAATCTTTATCTCATTAAGCCGCCAAACGCCAAGCATAATAACGCCGTTCCATCATGCTATTTACTTGGGGACCAACTTGATATTGTACTCAAGCTCCCAGGGAGCCTTAGCATCGCCTTTCCTTTCCAAGAACCTCACGGTAAGGCCATCCTTCACCGCGAAAACAGAGTCATCCTCGAGGTACTTGGAGTCCTCGTCAAAAATTTGTGTCGTGACAGACTGGAAGCTCTCTGAGCGGACCTGTGGAGCTGTTAGGATGGATGTTTCTGCCGCAACATGAGCCAAGGGGAATCTTACAATCAGGTGAATGTGAGCCGGTCTGTATGGGTGGCGGTGAAGGAGTCCCAGCAGCTTGCCAGCTGGGCCATCGTCGGGAACCTTTGCATCATGTCAGCAAGGAAATCGTTCACGGCTTTTCAGCGTCAATACTCACGGGATAGGGGGTGGGTCGCAGGCAGTAGAAGCCATAGCGGCCCTCCGAGTCAGTCTTGAACACACCACGCAGGTTGTGTTCAGGCTGATCGGCATCTTGTTGCTCGTACAAACCTAAAAAGGCAAATCAGATCGAGGCCCCTGCATCTGCAAATTCAGGGGTTCCATACCATTTGTTGAGGCTTGCCAGACATCAACCGACGCGTTGGCCAACGGCTTTCCGGTGTTGGAGCATGTTACTTGACCGTACATCCACGCAACTTGACCGTCCTCTGGGACCTTGAGCACGATGGTGCTGCCGTTGCTGCGAACGGGAGTGTCGGCGCGCCAGAAGGGGCCGAGGATAGCCGTCGCGGTACCGGGCTGGCCGTTCCTCGTCGCCACCCGGTTTGTGATATCATCAACAAGCCTGTTTCCGGCGTCAGTCTCACTCAACTTGGCATTTTCTGTGTTTGTAATACATACGATTCGAGTCCAATAACGTCGCACAGGAGCTGGCCCTCATTGCGACGGTCGTTGCTCATCTGGCCCGCCCAGTTGATCATGTTGACACCCATCATCCACTCATCCGTGGTGAGGTCGACCTCGCGCGCAAAGTCGTGGATGTGCTGAATGAAGGAAGTGAGAATGACACGGAGCCTGGGGTCGGTCTCCTTGCCCATGGAGGCAATGACCTGCTTCGTGAAGTCTTGGCCGAGACCGACATCTTTGTTCTGTAACGAGCCCATGATTGATAGTATTGAGTGTGTTTTTTCTTTCACGACAAAACTGCGAGATGGTGAAGCCGGGCGATGAGCAGGTCGAGGATGGTTCGCAGACAGGCTACTTAAGACGAATTAAGTTACGCCACAGGTGGTCTTTGTTCTCCGTCCCGCAGTTGGAGGGAAAGATACTTATCCCAATCATCGTTCGTGTATTACTCGCCATTTTTCCTGCTTCGTCAGTTGATTGCACGTGCCCGGCGGGTACTGCCGGCCGTCGACTCCTCTGTTCGCTTTTGGGCCGGATACGCCCCCCGGTTCCGGGGTGGTATTCCCATTTCGGGTACGGGGAAGAGGATCCGACGCAAGGGGCATCTGCCGAGATCTCCCATTTTCTGGCGAGTCTGGCCTGACGACGCCCGTGGCCCGGTGCTTCGTGGACTGGGGCCCCCGCACTTTGGGTTATCTTTGTGGAGATTCGCGCGCGGGAGGATGGGATCATGGGGGTGGTGGCGGTCCGCTGCTAGTCGTGACTGTGACTTCATGTCTCTGTGTTGCTTTGGTGCGTTGGCATGTCCCCGAAACGGTCGGCTTCGCGTCGGGAAATGCACTGGCGGGTATGGGCGGGGCTATCTTGGACCCTATTCTGTCACGTCGCTTTGGATGTTTTTCGACCAGCATGGTGCCTTGGTGATTGAATATTGCGACTTTTCGATTGAAATGTTTTAATCGAACGTGCATTGAGTTGTAGTTGCGATAAGGCATTAAGAAAGTTACACGAGAATTAGTCTATCATGGTTGAGGGTCCACAAGTCGTCTACGGTGTACAAAGCTCAACCTTTCACAACGCCATTCGTGCCGTTGATACCGTTGGTGTGACCTTCTATCAAATGATCCTCTTCCGGTCCGAAATCCCAACTTGCTGGATCTGTGCCGTTTGGCCTGCTCGCTCTCTTGAATCCAATATCGATGCCGTCAATCTTGACCACGGGTCTCACGGCCTCAACCTCTGCCTTGTATCCCTTTGAGTACCACTTTTCGCGAATCTCCTTCGAGCTGAAAAGCTCCGGCGCATAGCGCTTCATGGCTTTTAGTGCCGTGCCTGAGATTTGATCGACGCTGTGACTGTGTCTCAGAGCGAGGAAGTCGTCGCCCGCCAACTTCAACAGCTCGCGCCTGACTTCTTCTGGGTACTGTCCGACTTTGATGAGGAGCAGATCGTATTGCAGGAGAGATGCTTTGCCGTGCCACGAGCCACCCTTGGTAGCTCTGTTGTAGAGACCGGTTAGAGCCGCAATGGCACCCATGCAGCCCGTTCCGTAATCAGAAATGGGGAAAGGGGGAACAACCGGCTCATCCAGCCCCATGAAACGGCCTTGCGCCCACGCCACACCGCTGACCTGTGATCATGTTAGCTGATAATTGAAAATAGCGAGGGCCTGAACTGACGCAGTCGGCAATCTGTTGCCATCCAGGCCGTGAAGCCCACTCGCCCTGATACCCGAAGCAGTTTTCGTTGACGTAGACGATACCCTTTCCGCGGTCCTTGGCGAGTTTCGTCAGAGCAGTCGCGCCGTAACCGAGCTTTTCCAAGGCACCAGGCCGATACCCGTCAAGAACGACATCCGCTTCTGCTAGCAGGGCTTCAAACTGCTTTCTTCCCTCTGGCGTCTTGAGATCCAGGTCGGCGGCATGCTTTCCCATGTTGCCATCAACCTGGAAAAATGGGACATCGCTGAGGTTGGGGCTCGTAATTTTCAATACATCCGCGCCATACTCGCCCAAGATACGTCCGATTACCGGCCCAGCGATGATGCGACATAGCTCAAGCACTTTGACACCGGCCAGGATGCGCTTGTCAGATGTGCTAGGTAGCGGCGTTGGAGGTGTTGAGTTCTCCAGGTTGTCAACGCTCCAAGGAGGGAGGCTGACGTTCGTCTTGCCCTATAAGGAAAACCGTCAATATCAGATGGGGAATATGATATGTGAGATTGACTTACATGAGGTGTGCGGAGGAAGTCTTCATGCTTGAGTACGGGTACGCCAGCCTGGCGTTTCTCTGCATTCAGGCGCTCGAGCTCTTCGGTGGTGAAATTCTTTACATGAGATTCAATTGCATCGACAATTGCGTCATGATCATCCTTCAGGTCCGGTCTGAACGGCTCCAAGCCTATCATGCCAAGAGTCGTTGATGCCTCAAGTGATCCATGAATGTGGTAGTACTCTCCTCTTTGCTTAGTTTCGTACAGGTTTGCTGACATGCGACGGTACGGATCGGATTGCGCTTTTAGCAAGTCCGTGTCTGGGACAGTTAGATCTACTTGATCCGCCGAGTGGTGAGAACCGTGATTGTGAGCTCACCTTTCAGCATCTTCTTGACCTCTTTGTCCAACTTTCCATAGCCGCCAACAGTCGCCAAATACGCCTGAATCAAGAACGCAGTGCTCTTCTCCAAGCTCACTGTGACCTTTGGCTCAGTCTTGGGTCCAAACTTGGTAGCTGCAAGCGCTCCAGCAACACCACCCTCAATGGCCTTCAAAGCTGAGGCCAACTCCGTTTCCTTAAACGGAATAGGAAAGTACGGCAGGTCGCGAGTCGCCGTGAGTTGCACATTTTTGGTGATTTTCTCAGCTTCAGCAGGTATCTGCACGGTGCTGAGGACAAAGTCCAGAATGCGCTTCGTTTCAGCGACGGCTGAATATGCTTTCTCGGCCATGATGAGTTTTTGTCGATGCAAAAAGACGTCAAAACTCCCTAGCTGGGCAGGAAATCCAGCTAACACAGGTGATAAGAGAGCGCCGGCCGGGGTGCGTTCATGTAGTACCGTCCCGTACCCGCACTTCACGTCTTTGCGCCTCGTGACTATCACACCTTCAGCTCCATCAACCCTCGGAGAGGAGCATCCATTCTTCCTTGGTCAAGTTTGGGATTTGCCTTCGTCTCAAGAGCCAATAATCCGTTCGCTCTCGTTCTTTCCTCCGTCCGATTCGTGGCCCAGTGTCACAGCGACGAACATCGAAACGTCGGACCCGTAATCGGGTATCGGGTGGCCATTGCTGCGCTTCCAATGAAAGCAACGCAATTGCCCTTCGGGAAGAGCATCCAAAGGACCCGGCTTCCGATATCGTCGGAATCCGGGTGTTCGCTATGAGCGCTACTGCGGGTCTAGTTTGGGGGGCGCTGACTTGGGTGGTTGGGCGTGCTCGGACATGGGGGTTTTCTCGGCTTTGAGAGGGTTGTCGGATGAGGGCTTGACACGTCGGATAAGGGCCCTCGGCGTCTCGTGCTTATTGGACATGGCGACTACCACTTTACTATCTACTTTTCTTGCGAAGTGGTGTCCAGAGAGACAAGGACCTGTGTCCTTGCTGGCTCGGTCAATTATTCACCGCTCCGCCTTTGCTGTCACTTTTCATGTTGATCGTCTTTGGCCTCACTGCCGTCATGCCGATACTGCGGGGAAAGCCCATCATGGAGCGACTGAGAAGCCAAGACTTGGTTGAGGTTGAGGTGTTGAAGTGGGCGGGCAGAGGAGATAATAAAGAGAGCATTACACAAGACATTCAACAACTGTTTCCTCTTTGAAATGGCTAGTGGCGATTGGTCGTCCGTCTTGGCCAATAGTCTGTGATACCCTAGTTGTATCTTGCATTGAGAGCCGCGGATACAGCACTCTGCTGTGTGCCGAGCTAAGCGTCCGACGATCCCGCCCCAAAGCCCGATTCTTCAAGAAAGAAGCACAACCAATGCTGTCACGACAGATGTCAAAATGGACTAGCTCATTGGACCGTCCCTTTCTACACCTTCCCCCATTGCTTCTGAGTTGCTGCCCCCCCTGGCCCCGTCATGGCTATCAAGTCGCCCGGCATGCCGCGCCGTGGAGGGGCGCAAAATCTGGGGAAATTGATGACCTGGGAGCCCCCCTGGAAAAGCGTTCCCCCGCAGGAGCTGAGGCTGCTGTGCCGCAGCGAGTTTGCCCCGGATTTTGGCACTGCAGCAGCAGGCTGGGCTGGCTGGCTGGCTGTTTGACCCAAGAAATCATAGCGGTAATTTTTTCCCTCTTTGCCACGCGTTCCCGTTTTCGCCGTTGCTGTAGCCAACCAACCATCCCAGCGCACGATTTGCGTTTCACAAGAAGTTCAGTTCGGAAGAGAGACGAGGAGATTAAGGGTTTCTGGGTAAGATTTCAGCATCCAGACAATGCCGACGAAAAGGGTCCGACAGAGCGAACGGCGCAGATGCGTCAAAGCCTGCGGCAACTGCAAGCGGCGGAAAGAGCGCTGCGACGGCCAGCAGCCCTGCAGGCGGTGCGTTATCCGCAGAGTCGAGAGCGACTGTTCCTTCAGCGGTCCGACGACAACAACCTTCCCACCCGAGGGCTCAGCTTCATCGGCGAGGAGTCCTCCTCCGACGCAGCAGCAGCAGCGTGTGGCTATTGACGGAAGCCCGGCAAGTCGAGGAGACATCTTCCATTCATATGGCTCAACGGCCTCTTTCCAAGAAGCCCACGGTGTCTCGCCGAACCACCACCACAGACGCGCATCTTCGCAAGTGTGTCATCTCTCGCCCAACACGGTGGTACCGCAGATCTCACGACTCATTGGCGATGGCCGCGGCCGCTTCATGTTCATTGGCGATGCCGCCAACCTGGCCTTCCTGAAAGTCATCCGCCGGCTGGTCCGCGATCGCGTCGGGTCGTGCCCGTTCACTGATGATCCCCTGCGACACCTCATGGTTGAGGCAACTCCAGAAGGACGCCCGAAATGGATCATCACCAACCCAGCAGATATCCCAGCAAAGCCCAGCCCCGAACAGGCAAGGTACCTACTGCGGTGGTACCTGCGGGCAACCAACTGCATACTCGAAGTGTTTGACGAAGCAGAGCTCTTGAAGGATCTGGAAAAGTGGCTCCGTGGGGAACCGACGAGTCACGATGAAGAGGCCATGAACTGCATCTTCTTTCTCACGTTCGGCATCGGGGCTCAGAGATGTCCTGATGATCGAGACGCCGACGCCGAGAAGTACTTCAACTATGGACGGTTTCTGGCGGTCTCATACGCAATGGAGAATCCAACGAACAACACCGTCAGCACCTACGTCTTGATCACCGTCTATCTCCTTGGCGCATCCAGGCGCAATTCCGCCTTCATGCATCTTGGCGTTGCAGTCCGCGCAGCTCATGCCCTGGGTATACACAAAAGGGACAACTCATCTCTCTTCCCAATTCATGAGCAAGAAACTAGGGAGCGTCTATGGAAAGCACTTCGAGTTTTAGACCTGTTTCTCGCGGCTTCACTAGGACGGCCTTTAGCTACCACAGAATCCCGGGACTTCTCATCAACCGACAATCATTCAGCCTCACTGGAGCTATGCTCCATATTTGAGTCGATTCTCAACGACGTCTATGCCAAGCGCATGGTCACTACAGACACCTTGGAGCGCATCAGCGAACAACATCGTCGTTGGGCTGCACGGTTCAGCGATGGTCTTGCCGCCGATGGCGTAAAGTCAGGCATGTATGTTGAAGCAGAGGATGGTGAAAAGTACCCCAACGTGGGACTCTACCACATGAAAGAAGCATACTACTGGAGCATCATGCTACTCTCACGACCGTTTCTCATCGACTTTGTCTCAAGGAACATGGCTCGGTCACAAAACATGTCAACATGGCATGACGAGCCACAGCTCTCATCATCATCTGATCAACTGCTGGTTCACGCGTGCGTAGACTCGGCAATCCGCACCATCGACCTTTTATCGGGCCTCATCACCGATAAGAACGTCTCCAAGCGACATCCCTTCGTCATCAACTCGGTGTTCGTATCGGCCCTGGTGCTTGGTCTGGCCGTATTTGGTGATTTGGACAGCACCTTCCCGCTTGATAAGAGCTTAGCAGACGCCCAAGCGCTCCTACGACGGTTCAGCAAGCATGATCCAGTCGCTAATAGGGAGTTGTCCATAGTTGAACATCTGCAAGGCGCCTGCGTCTTGTACACAGAAAGGAGGGCTCGGCGCAAGATGGAGTGCCAAGGAATGCTCATAGGCGAGCTCTTCGGAAGCGTTCATGATGGTGCGTCGCTATCGAACGATGCTTCAAGAATGGGGTCTGCAAGCTTTGGTCGAGAGTCCCGGATGTTCGGCGGTCAAAGGCTACACAGCACTTCGGATGCGGAAGACTTGAGCAGTATAGACCAGAACGCTTCCCTGACAACAGGGAGCTCCGATGGTCACCAGCTGGGCGGCGCCGAGCAAGCAAGAGGGTCCAATATCACGCAGGCTCTGACACCTTCGACCGACATCTTACTTCCCATGTCGCCAAGGACACTGCTATTCGATTCTTACGCCCACGACATGCCATTCTTTCCTACTATGGACGTGGGCCTGTCACATTTGGGATACACTGATGAGATGATGATGCCGGAAACTGGTGCGTTGCTTGATCCACCATGTTGAGGAGAATTATGACATCTGTATGTATAAAGTAGCGATAGTACGAATTAATGATACCGTAATGATCAAGACACACAAAAGGGAAGTCCGCCAGTGGCTTCATACAAAGCTTCACTCATCTTTCATCTTGGTCACGAAACCATGAACACTGAGACCCGGACCTCAAATCGTAAGTCAGGAAACTTGCGGAACTTATTCGATTCTTGGCTACTGCCTGAAAAAGTAGAAGAACAATAATGCATCAAATGTGCAGCTAATTCGGGCAATTAAACACATCCCGTTGACTTCATGACTTCAATAACTCGCTCAGAAGACCTCCCCAGCTGACCGCCTCAACGCCGCAGTAACATCATCAGGCCTGCTCAAAAATGGTGAGTGGCTAGCATCCATCCGTTCAATGACCACATCCACTTTAGAGGCATCGATCATCTGCTGCTGCGCTGGCGGCGGGATCGCGTTGTCCCGCTCGCAGAGGATGTAAGTCACCGGGATGTCTCTCCAGGCGGCATATGTGAGCTTGCTGAAAAACGTCCTGTAGCTGTGGCACTTTAGTCCAAGCACCGCCTCGGCAGCCGCCTCCTCGTCAAGGTCGTTATAACATATTTCCACGGGCCGTTCCGCGTCGACGATGGTGTCATTCTCTGACAACCTGAACCAAGGCAGCGGTTGGCCTTGGAGCATGTCGATGAGTGAGACCCCTTTTAGCCACGTTAGTCTCTGTGCCATATGAGCCACTTGGAAAGAGTTCCGTTTCTTACCTTCAGGAAGCAGAAAAGCAGCGCAAAAGATCAGGCGGACAATGCCCCCCGGCTTGCCCTCCCTCTTACGTGTTGCTGTATCAAGCCCTCGGCAGGCTTCAGAGCCAACTACACCGCCATAACTGTGCATGAACAGCACCACCTCTTCGCCATTGTCGACAGCCTTCTCAATTGCTTGCCGAATCGCCGCGACGTCGGGCTCAAAGTCCTTCAGCGGTGGGTTGGCTCCGTAGGAAGGCAACTGGACGGACACAGTGTTGTATCCGAGAGCTTCAAGCTGCGAAGTCACAGGCCGAAAGCGAGTCGCGCAGTGCCAAGCACCAGGTACAAAGATGAAGGTTGGTTTAGTCGCCATTGTTGCAGCCGTCTGATGGAACTCAAAAGCCAGTCTGAGGTCTGACCATCACCGAGACTCAATGACAGCGGTGGGGCAGGCTTTTTAAACTCTTTCCTACCCCGTGGGAAACACCCTCCCTTCCTTGGATCTTGAGATTCATCTTGACAGAATCCGGGGAATCTGGGGAAGATACCCGAATTTCCCCAGGCATTGAGTGCCTCTCGGATCGGGCTCCGGTCATGGCGGTGCGACAGGAACTATCGACAAGACTAAAATTAGACGGACATTTTTTGTGGCGTCTGGGGTAACTAACACACAATGGCGCCCACATGGCAATTCTTCAACGCTCAGAGACATCGAACAATCTTCAACAGCCGAAGCTTTAAAGTTTCGGAGAGCATGCAACGGACAAGATTAGTTCGATGCATGATCCCCATCCATCCATCCCCCTCGTTTCCCCTCACTGCCGATAGTGAGAAGTGATACTACCCGGTGTCAATGCACGCCCCTAAAAACCGTCACCCGAAGGCTGCTTCGGCTAGGCAGCTGGTGGACTTTCTAGAATCAACCCAATTCCCGAAGCCGAAGATGCATAACCCGTGACCCGACAGCGCCAGCCAATACGCCACCGCCAGAACGTCAGCAAAACGTGGACGCCCCATCCGAAGATCATCGACGCAGCTTGTCCGTTGAATTTCGGGGCCCGGGACTATCGGCAAGAATTGTCGGTGGCAGCCGATGGGTCCTCCCGGTGGGTGCTGTCATTAATTTTGTCGTCGTCGGCGTCATAGGTCTCATCCGAGTAGCCGGTGAGGCTGTAAGGGACAAGCTCTGCTGCAGGTGTTTTCATTTTTGGTGGTTTGCGCCGTGTACTCTTCCCATGTATATCTTCATAGAAATACCTTTACTCAAGGACAAGACCAAAGATTTTTGAGTCAGCTCGATTATTCGTTTCAAAGCACACGGCGAAAAGGTGACAGACAGCACGTGCCCGTCCTATTCATTTCCGCGTCCGAACTCTATTCCTCCTTGGCACCTCTCTCACTTCTCAACCACACGTATCGAAGATGACGCCGCCGCCGGAGTTTTGCTTGTCTCCGAACAAGGACTTTAATGTCGCTGTAGTCGGAGGCGGTATCGCCGGCCTGACGCTGACTCTCCAGCTCCTGCTCCAGCGGATCCCGACGACGCTGTACGAGCAGGCGCCGCAGTTCGGAGAGATCGGAGCCGGCGTCTCGTTCGGGCCCAACGCGTTGAGGGCCATGTCCCTGATCTCATCGCACGTTCGGGACGCGTTCGAAGCCCAGGTAACGTACAACCAGTCTGAGGACCACAAAGGCGTGTGGTTCGACTTCAGGTACGGCGAGTCTTGCGACGGCAAGTACCAGGAGGGCGACCTGATCTACCGCCTGGAGTGTGACGGCGGGCAGACGAGCATCCACCGCGCTCACTTTCTGGATGAGCTGGTAAAGCTGCTGCCGGACGGAATTGCCAAGTTTGGCAAGCGTTGTGTGGACTATGAGGACGATGGGAAGAGCGTGTTGTTGAAGTTCCAGGACGGCACGACGGCGAGACACGATGCAGTCATTGCTTGTGACGGCATCAAGTCAAAGTTGCGCAGCGTCGTGCTGGGAGAGGATGACCCAGCTGCTAAGGCTGTGTTCTCTGGGAAGTGCGCTTATCGAGGACTCATTCCCATTGAGGAAGCTCAAGAGCTGCTTGGTGAAGAGCTAGCCGGGAACGCGCAGATGTACTGCGGAAGGCATGGGCACATTTTGACCTTTTCCGTAGCCAAGGGCAAGTACATGAATGGTAAGTTTGCAACAGAGTCATTCTAAAAGAGCAGTTGATGTTAACCAAATTTCAGTGGTTGCGATGCGCAGTAAAGACGACTGGAAATCGGACAACTGGGTCGTGTCAGTCAACAAGGAGGAAATGCTTGCCGACTTCGAAGGCTGGAGCGAGCAAGCCCGTCGGATCATCCAGATGATGCAAAAGCCCGATGTCTGGGCCCTATTCGACCACCCGCCTAGTCACACATTTTTCAAAGGACGCGTGTGCCTCCTCGGCGACGCCGCCCACGCCTCAACACCCCACAAGGGCTCCGGAGCCGGCATGGCGATTGAGGATGCGTACGTCATGGGCAACCTGTTGAGTTTGATCTCCAGCCCTGAAGAAATTGAGCCTGCGTTTGCTGTGTACAACAAGACAAGAAAGGAGAGGTCGCAGAACCTCGTCACGGACAGCCGCGAGCAGGGACAGTTGTACGATTTGGAGTTGAAGGATGACCCGGAGTGGATCGCCGAAAACCTGTCAACCCGCATGGACTGGATATGGAAGTACGACTTGACGCAAGAGTTGGAGAAGGGCAGGCGGATGCTGGAAACGAAGGCGCAACTATGATTGGCTGGCTTCTAGGTGTTAACGGGATTGGTATCTTATATTCAGCGATATTCTCAACAAAGCCCATGAATTTCTGGACCAAGTGGCGCCGGTAGTAAGACCCGCTGTTGTCGTAGTTATGAAACCAGTTGTGGTATGACTATTAGCTGACTTGTCGGACTGTTTACTGATCTGGCGAGTTTCGTACTAATCGCCCGACGAGTTTGTTTACTGATCTGACAAGTGTGTTCACTGATCATTAGAACGCTGGCCAAAGTCGTTACCAAAGATATCCTGACATAGTGCAGAGGTCTCAGCCAAAAGTATTCACACACCACCCCCTGCCACAATACGGCCGAGGCCTCAACGCTGTACTGTGGCTCAGCTAATAGTTGGCGGATAAGGTATGATGATTTCAGCTTTTCTATTGGCTAATAGCTCTGACACAAGTGGGATGAATTGTTCTATCACCCCACGATAACTACAGTCACAGTATACATCGCGCCACCTAGCGAGATCCTTGCACGGGGCGTCTTTGGGGTCCTACGTAGGTGCGGATACTACTTAACTGCCACCTCCGTACCGTACCTATGGAGTAATATGAACCAGTAGTAGTCTTTTCAAATGCGTAAAGTACTCATGTCACATTGTGAAAGAGCAAAGTATACTTGTGAAGTGATTTGATTCGTTTCAATCTACCAGAAAATGCCTATGCCAACCTAAACAAAACAGAGAGGGAATCCTAAAGCCATGCTGCAACTTTTACAACCTTTTATGTACAATGCAAGAATACTCGCTCCAACCCAATGCAATCAAACGCTTAGTCGAAGTGAATGCGCCACAACTCTCTCGGCGAACCAGCCTTGAAGTCACTGCGGGTGTGCATCGCCAGGACGTTGTCGCTGACGAGCAGGTCGCCCTCCTCCCAAGAGAAGTAGAGCGTGTTCCTGCGGTCGTGCAACAGGGAGTCCAGGATGTTGCAGATCTCGGTGCTCTCCTCCTCGCTGACGCCTTCGATGTTCACGTAGGTGGCATCGAAGGTGGTCTTGGACTGAGGCCAGGGCTCGTGGTAGCGGATGCAGGCCTCACCGGTCTCGGGGTGGGGGGTGACAAGAGGGAGACCGGTCATCTTGGTGGCGTCGAAGGAGCTGGTCTGGACGCTCCAGGTGAGCTTGGAGAGCTTCTCGAGAGGCAGGTGGGGAGGCAGGTTCTGGAAGACGAGGCGGGAGGGGGTGAAGAGGGTGAAGCCGGTGTCCTTCGGTGAGGGCGTGACCGAGGTGAAGAACTGGAACCTGCAGGAGTGGGTTAGCTCCGGATCATCGGATCTGCACTGCTGTGCCGCTGGAAGTGGACTTACTTGGGAGGGTTGGGAAGAAGCTTCTCAGTTCCGTCCTCTTGGGGCACCTTGTGGGTCTTGAACAGACCATCGAAGTGGAAGGGCATCCACTCGGCTGACAGAACGTTATTCAGACCACGGGTATCGGCACCCTGGTCCTTGACCTCGAGGACAAGACCAAACTTCCACGGGAGGGGCGTTCCGAACTCCTCAGACTTCTTGACGAACAGGTCGCGGTCCTTGGTCTTGGAGAAGCCGCGCATGATGACGGGAGAGTTGACCTCGGACAGGGCGCGGACCTTCTTGGCGTCGATGTCGTGGATGGAGAGCTTCTTGGGGCCGGCGGCCGGGCGGATAACAACGCCGCAGGGGTAGATAGGCTCGAAGGTGACGTCCTTGTCCCAGTTGTAGAGGTCGCTCTTCTCGCGGAAGTAGCTGGGTCTGCCGTCCTCGTAGACGAGCTCGTACTTGGGGTCGTTCTCGAACTCTGATCGGGGGCCAGTGGTGATGGCGCCGCTGACGCTGAAGGCGATGGAGCAGTGCCAGGGGGTGGTGTAGTAGGTGGTAGTCGGCAAGGGGCTGATGGGGATCTTGGTCTCGCCCACGGAGGGGTGGATGGAGAGACGGATGTGGTCGCGGAAGTTCTCGCGCACAGCACGCGCAAAGGCGTCACCGCGCTGAAGCATCTGCTTGGAGATGTACTCGATGCCGGTCTTGAACTTGGTCTTGGAGCGGTCCTCGCCGACGGGGTAGACATGGCGCAAATCGGTCTCGAGGAACTTGATGTATCCGCGATATGTCAGGCAGGTGTCCTCGTTCTTGGAGATCTCGTTGGAGGGGTCGTAGTCGGCTCTGCCGAAGGTGTTAAGGAGGGCCCGGCGGAAGTTGGTAGCGTTGGCGACGTATGTGATCTCCTCGAGCTTGTTGGGGAGGTTAGGGAGGTGGACGAGGTCCTGGAGACGAGAGAACTGGATGTTGGTCAAGCGCTGCTCAGCGGCAATGCCACGAAGAGTCTCTCCGTACGCCCAGACTTCCTTGTCTTGGACACCAAGAAGGTCTGTTATAGAATTTTGTTAGTCGCGTCGAAAGCAGCAGAATCAAAGTGTTAGGCTAGCGTACCGTTATATACAAGTCCGTCGGAGATGATAGTGAGCTTTGCGCCGGGCTCGTAGTAGTCCTTGATGGCTGAGCAGAGACCGTTGAGGTTGGCAAGGGCGAACTCATCCGCCTTATCAGGCAGACGGCTGAGGACCTTGTCTCTTGTGTTGGGTGACTTGAAGGGGAAGGCAGGAAGGCACAT